ACTAACGACCTTATATATTTGTGGTTGGATTTGAGTAAACAAGGTGAGTGGGAATTGCAGAGGTATTAAAGCCATTGAAGTTGGAGCCGCAAGAAGCCCTGTAAGCTCCCATATTGGGGAATACAAGCCAGTCGTGCACTTGGAGCTCCGGGAGTTGGCAGCCTCTAAGGATGGTGTCAGAGGCATCACAGGTCGGTCCAAACACGGTGGATGGGTATGTGATCACTTCTTCCTCATTACAAGTCAAATCGCCATGCTTATTCCAGTACTTGACCACGATTGGCGCAGGCAGAGTTTCACCAGAATTTAGTATGCAATTCATAGACCCAAATGCTCCATCATCGATCCAGTACTCCCTCAAATCATTCCGCACTCTCTTGCCAATGATGTTGGTTGCTAGTGTGAATGATGTCTCCGCAAAGAACCTCCCTGGTTCGGCAATCACGGTTAAATCCGATTCACCTGAGAAGAAATCTCTGAGAGCACCATTGATGGTATGAACGAGGTCGTAAAATATTCTGGTGCATGCTTTGAAGCCTCCACCTATGTCAAGTACGTGCATGSGAGGCAAGCCAAGAGTCAAGGCTGTGTCGAATACTTGTTTGGCTGCTGCAATCGCACTACGGTAGGGTTCTGGATTTCTAGCCCCACTTCCCACATGGAATTCTACCCCAATTACATCCAAAGAGGACTCTTGGGCGGCTCTGAGAAGTGGGATAACCTCTTCCTTCAAAGCACCAAACTTTGATCCCAATGGGAACTGTGCATCCTCCTTTGGTGGTTTAAGCCGGAGTAGCAGTTTGGACTTGGGATGACACCTTCGAATCTTGTCAAGCTCGCACAGAGAGTCGAAGGTTGGCCTCAGCCTTGCACGGGTTGGCGTAGATAATGCGGTCTGGAGAGAGACCAAGTGCGAGGACAGCGTCAATTTCAGTCGGGCTGGAACAATCGAAACCTGCTCCGAGAGCTGCGAGTGTAGCAAGCAAGCAAGGATCTGGGTTGCACTTGACAGCATAGAAAGGCCGTATGTTGGGGAAGCAACAGTTCCATCTTTCCATGAGGCTCAGTGTTACCCCAAGGTCTAGTATATAGAAGGGGTCCTTCACCTGTTGCTGCTCGGAAATTACAGATTGAATGAAATCGGTTAAGTCACCACCCTTCGATAGGCTGCTCACTCTCTTGTTCTTCATCTCAGGAGCTGCCAAGATAGATTCCAGAATGGTGGAGTTGTGTCTCCACCCATCACTGTCCTATGCTGTTTTTCAATGTGTAAATGAAAATCAAGATTATCAATGTAAATAAATGTTTATTTATTTTTATTGAAGTTAATGTAAAACTTGAGGCAAGTGGAATTTTACGTGGATTCTTCCGTGTTTAATTACACTCCATCCAAACAGGTTTAAAATCGGACCTGACTGTAATATAACATCGGTTTGGTATTTATACAGTAAACAAACGCAGGCGAGAAGAAATCTTTATGACTTGGCCTCTCTCTTCCCTTTCATATGATATGACAAGGCTAAAATCAAGCTGAACACAGGCATCCTTGACCTAAGATCTGAGTAAATAATACGGTACAACAAGTTATTGCAGAGAAGCCAATAACTTTTTTACAAATTTTGGATTTGAAGATCATTTTTGATATTCCAGGCGGCCAAAGATTGAGAAAATCAAGACCGAAGATCTGCTAGTTGTGCCTTCCTTCAGTCGGGATGAATTATATACAAAATCATGCACACCAAACACATGTGGAAATATACATCTTCACCCCAAATAATGGAGATGTTTCCGGTCTGGGCCCATTTATACTGAACACCTGTTACGGTCTGACACAGGCTTGGCTTTGTCTACGCTTGTCAGGCTTACGTTAAGGACATCACCGTCATTTTTGCCTGTAAGATTTACAGGAGAATTGATGTTATCTTCAGGCAGACCACCAAAAGCTTAACGTACTCTTTGAGGAGGGGTGGTCGACCTCCTTGGGTGCCTAACCTTGGCACTCCTAGACCATCATCCCCTTGCGGGGCGGCCCTGGTTAATGGCTAGCATGGCTACCAAGGTTCCTCATGGGCACACACTTGCTCATGGGGACAGTGTTAGACCGGCACTGCGCTATCGATATTCAAGGGAGGCTTGGCATGCAGGCTTGGCTCAAGCATGACCCTTCACCACGCCAGCCCCTTGCCCAAGCTGAGTGAGCTACCTCGTTGCCTCTAGTGCACGGGTGTGTTTAGGCCCAAGCGGTTGCCTATCATCATGGCACACAGGTGTCTGTCATCATCAGCATACAAGAGACCCATCACATCGGTGCCCAGTCACCTCTCCGGTGCACAGTCGCCTTGCATTATGGTCGTCCCCCTTTAGCACGTAAGCGGCGCCTCCCATGGACCGGTCTGAGCCAGCAGAGTGCCCCAGCCATTGAACTTGAGGTCATGATCCAGTACTACTGACTTTGGTAGAACCATCCCATCAGGCAATTCCTAGCCTCTAAGCACATAAAAGCTTGTCCTGTCCTACCTTAGCCTGGACGCTACATGTGCTTCTTTCACTGTAAAACTACCCCGTGACACACATGTGTTTCTTTCACCGTAAAACCACCCCGTGACACACTTACGTATTCACTCGTGATAGGTAACCCAACAACCAAATAGACTTTTTTACAAATTTTGGATTTGAACATCATTTTGATATTTCAGGCGCCCAAAGATTGAGAAAATCAAGACCGAAGATCTGGTAGTTGTGCCTTCCTTTAGTCGGGATGAATTAGATACAAAATCATGCACACCAAACACACGTGGGAATTTACATCTTCAACCCAAATAATGGAGATGTTTCCGGTCTGGGCCCATTTATATTGAACACTAGCGTTTTCACTCGTGATAGGTAACCCAACAACCAACATATCACGAATGAACATGTATTTACTGTGGACCACTGCCATTTATTGTGCTAGAAGTACTATTGTAAGTCATTTATTAGGTGGGACCACTGCCACCTATAGGCTTTATAAATATAATACGCCTAATTAAAATTTTTTCATGTTAAAATGCCACCTAATTTCAATGCAGCACCTAATTGATAACCGTCCATTTGACTGCCTTTGGACTCTAAGGCTGTGTTTGATTGCAATGTAAAAAAATTTATGTTGATATAAAATTATAGTAGTGCAGATGATTTGAGTGTAAATTCTGATTTATTTTTGTTTTAAATTTTAGTTTATTTTGTTTCATTTATAATGGTGCAAATAAATTTGCATATTTTATATTTGTACTCCCATGCATTTACAATGATACAAATAAATTTGCACCACAACCAAATACATCTTAAGGGATTTTTCCTCCATTCATTATACAATAGGTCAAAGCTAGAGATGCTTCAATCAGTGCAAGACCCATGAATGCTGTTGGTTTATAGCCTTGCATTGAGAACATCTATGTATAGGAGATGTTATAAAGGCTATTCAAACGGGCGTTGCACCGACTGAATCCGATTTCAGAAAAGGGGAATTGGTATTTACTTTTCACATTTTATTAAACACATTAAAATAAAACAAAAAGAAAAGAAAAGATCACGGTTCCAGTTGATTGTTTATAAATTTTCATAGTATCATATCTTTTGGCATCATATTCAAGCCCAAAAATAAAATAATAAAAAATGGCCATGCTTTATAAAACAAAAGGATAAAAATGGCAAGGCCTCACTCTTTGTCTTGGTTTCCGTGCTTCCTGGCCTCCCCCAGAGAACATAACTACAGAAGACGATGAGATTGATTTTAAGAGGGTTTTTTTCAAGGGAGAATGACTAATCAGCCCACTCATAATTTTTTAGCCCCACTGTACAGGGGCGATGAATCCTGTGGATTGATGTCAATTTTATGGACAAGATACGGTGGGGGGGCACTACTAATAGAATATGGGAGCTGTAATTCAAAATTCTGCAGTGAATTGTAGAGTAATTTTTCCCTTTTTTTCAAGGGATAATAGGGGTTTAATATCAATAAAAGTGACATTTAAAAAAAATTAAAAATAGGTTAACATTTTAAAAATAGTATCAATAGAGGGTAAAACACTGTTCATCATCTTCTTCTTGCCATTTGTTAACCAGCATCGTCACCCGCCACCACCGTCCGGTGTCGCCGCCGCCTCCGCTTCCAACAACGTTGCCAGAGGAATGACCACCAGCGCTGCCACTGCCACCTTTGCCTCTGGCCACTTCCGGCAATGTTGCCGGAGGCGGTAGCGGACAGCGGTGCTGGTGAACAAATGGCAAGAATAATATGATGAATAATATTTTTGCCCTTTATTGATATTATTGTTAAAAAACTAACCTATTTTTTTATTTTTTAAAATATTACTTTTATTGATATTAAACCCTAAAAGTTGCCCCTATATGCTATTACCCCTTTTTTCAAAGGTTGTCTTATATTCTATCCACCCAAATTACACTTTCATATATCTATTCTAATAAATATTAAATAATAAGCCATGTGATATCATAATTATTGTAAATATCTAATCGGTTTGGGTCTGAGTCAATCCGGTATAGCTAAAACCAGTCCCGACCCAATAATAATTGGGACATAGGACTTAAAACCGAAACCAACCCAATGGTTCAAAACTTGGAACTAAAATTGACAAAACCGGTTCTGTTTGGTCCTAACCCTTTGACAGCCTTATTTTTGGTCATCTTAATAGTTTAGCGCACTCTTTAGGTTGTAAGGCTAAATCTTTTCTGGAGGCCTCAGTCTTTTTTGGACCTAAATAATTGTAATTTTTTGGTTATATTAAGTATTTTTCCTTATTAAAAAATAAAATAATAAATAACAAAAAATGGTTTGATTGCTTAGAGACCGAATCAGCCCCCACAACATCCCACAACACATCCCCGCCTGTGTATTGAGAACATCTCCCAATAATGACATCATCATTTTGATATTATCATCAAGAGATGTTTCCAATACATGACCGGGATGTACTGTGGAATGTCATGGAAGGCTGATTTGAACTCGAATGCTTAAGCCTGAGATCAACCAAAACGCTAAACAAAAACAAACCAAAATCTTGAAGGAGTCGGATCAACCACTGAAAGTTCAAAAATGAAACTATTGTATAAAAAAAGAGAAAAAAAATAAAAACTTAAGATCCAACATTAAATTAATGGAATCTCTCTAAACAAAATCTTTATTATGTACTCTTTTGGATGGTGAAAGAGTTCAGACTGACTCCCCACAGAGTGTGCCCAACATGCACATCTCAAAATGGATCTGTCCAGAAGATGAAGGGTCTGTAAATTTTTTAAACCATTCCTCCATTTGAGTTTGCCATGAATGAAAATTATATGTGAAATTTATTATACTACCCCTCTATCTGAGATTTCGGAGTTCAACCTCTTCATCCAAGTTTGGGTTGGAGGAGGATAAAATAAGAATTTTATTTGTTTTTTACTTAAGTTATTTTAAACAATTGATCATGATTAATTTTGGTCATTAAAAATAATTAATGGTCTAACTGGACAGTCATCTCTAATTTCAGAGTTGACGTCCCGGAGGAAATAAAGAACAAAGTCTGCTAGAGCTGGTGGACAAGAGATCTGGACTCGGTGGACAGTGCTGGAAAAGACCTAGAATACAGAGTTGAGCATGTAAGCAAAAGATAGACAAAAAAGTGGGGGTAGTTCGCAGGATGGCAATTATCCCCATCCCAGTCATGTACCCGACTTCCCCAACCGCATTGGTGGGGTGGGGATGGGGATTAAAAGGGATCCTGGGTCGGATCGGGGATAACATTTATCCCAACAGGATTTAGGGTTTGTTGGATTTGAAATAATTTATGTATATATTTCATGTAGTCATTTTTTATTGGATTTTATTAGGGTGAGCAAAAAAACCAAAAAATTGAACCAATCAAAAAAACTAATTGAAATCGAACCGAAAAATCAGTTAACTGAATCGATTTATTTGGTTTCAGTTCGGTGTTTTTAAAAAACTAAAGGTACTAGTTCAGTTTCGGTTAACTAATATAGAAAACCAATGGTTAACTTAACCGACTGGTATACATATATTTCTATATTATATATATATATATATATATATTATAAATTAATAAAAATGCATTATATATAAATATATATTTATAATATATTAATTATTATTTAAAATATAATATTTTATATATATTCATAATTTTTTATTATATATTTATAATATATATTATAAAAACTAAAAAACCAAAAACCTAACGAACCAAACCGACGGTTAATCAAACCGGTCAACCGGTTTACCGACTGACTTTGGTTCGATTCCAGTTATCAGTTTTCCAAAAACCGGTAGTACTGGTTCGATTCCAAAAAATCAAAACTAAGCCCTAATTTGGGACATGTACAGTGCAAAATCTGTAACTGTATTTTTATTCCAAGTGTAAAAATTAGGATCGAAACACACATGAACAAATTCGGATTTAGTCCCAACGCACAGTCCCAACAAGCCATTACAGCCATAAATCCGGAGCATCCAATGTTGGAATCCACTGAGTTGGCAATCGGTATTTCAACTTTTGTAGCATACCTATGTATCCAAAGCATATCTAGATATATTTGTCTTTTCAATACATACATGTTAAACCTTACTTTTATATAAACTTATAATTTATAATTTATAATTCAATAATAAACTCTGGGCGAAAAGGCCTAAAACCCCATCTTAAAAGAAAAAAAAGCCAAAAACCCCCATTTCATTTAATTGACTCCCATAATTCTGTTGTTGTCACCTCAATTTTTTTAGGGGTACCTAAAACACTTAAATCTCCCTTGAGGTTTACCATAAATACTTACACCTCCCCTCTAATTTCTAATAGGACTTAAACCTCCCTTATTAATGAAATGCGTTATTTTTGACAGAATTATAAATAGACACTTTTTATCCTTTATTATCTTTCAAATTTTCAAAGAGTACCATCAGATTTATCATTTTGAAATAAGAATAATTGTTGTAGCTTGACTCAACCTTTGTACAGTCACTTTGAGGGCTGCTCACAACTGTTGATCAACAAAGTTGAGATCTCATGAACATTTTGGGGTAATTTGATATGAAATCACAGCCTCAAGAGAGATTTAAGGTTGTTAGAAAATGAAAATTTTAGATTTCCCCTATGAAATTATGCAAAAAACTAAATATAGGCTACTTGTGTTAGAACAGCAATGGCAAAGAAGCAATTATAAAAAGGGTAAATTTCTTAAACTACCCTTATAGTTTCACTAATTGATCAAATATATCTTTATTGTTTGACTATTGTCTAACGCTACCCCTACTATTTCTAACAATTGACTAATTCTACCCTTACCGTTAGCATCCGTTAATATTCCATCACACGCGACATATAATTTTTTTAAAACCCAATTTTACCCTTCATCCTCCGTGCCTCCCTCTCCCTCTCCCTCTCCCTTCTTCTTCTTCTCCTCCTTCATCATCTTCTTCCTTTCAGCAATGGACAGCAATAGCCCCCTCCATCTCTCTCTCTCTTTCTCTCTCTCTATTCGAAACTAAACCTGCTACCAATTCTAACTCGCTCAAGATCAACATCGAGCAGCCTCCACTACCGTCTGATGACTCAAGCTTGTACCAGATGGACGGTGTGTTGCTAGACTAGATGCCCTATCTGAAACACCCAAAGGTGGTGAGAAGACGAATCAGGAGGGGTCGTTTAGGTTGTTGAAGGTGGAGGCATAGGCACAGACATGAAGGGGTTGGAGGCACGGATGTGTATATCACAAGCATCGACGGAGTTGGGTCACCACTGTGCGTTGGGTATGAGGCACAAGCGTGTATATCACAGGCTTCAGCGGAGTTGGGTCATCGTTGTGCGTTGAGAGAGAGAGAGATGAGAAACCCAAGTTCGGCACTGGCAGTGTCGAGTACAAGTAAGACGTCGTGTTGTAGTAAGGTGGGGCTGAAGATAGGGCCTTGGATGCTGGAGGAGGATGAGCTTCTATCAAGCTAGAAGCTACATAAGAAAAGAGGGGGGATCCGCTCAGATCTGTATCTTCAAAGCTCCTCCGTAGCTGCCCACCTCATCTCAGATCATGGAACTACTCAGATTTGTCCCTAGGGCTCAGTTTGGTTGGAGTACTCTACATATTTGTATTTGTACTCCTTCCAAACTGAGTTTAGACAGCAAAGACAGATTGAGGAAAATGAAGAACAACCGGAGGATTTTCCAATTTGACTTAAGGGCAAAATAGACATTCCAGCCCTTCCGTCAATATTTTACCAACAATGGTAATTTTCCTAAACAGTAGGGATAGCATTAGACAATAGTCAAACATTAGGGGTATACTTAATCAATTAGCTAAACCATAAGGATAGTTTAAAAATTTAAACTTATAAAAATATCTTTGAAACTTGATTGCTTTCTTGAAAGGTTTAATTTCTAAAACCCTGAAACCTTAACTTCAAAGTCATTGGTTGGTCATTTTAGCAGCAACAAGCTCATCATTGTAGAACAATGGCAAAAACATAAGCTCCATACTATTATCCAAAAAAGGATTCTCATTGAAAATGTAAAAGTACCCATACACTCCATGACACTCAAACCTGGATAAAATAAAAACAAAACTTCTACTAGGTTACTATAGATCCCATCAAAGCATAGATTGAATCACCACCCCTCTTAATTAGAACTTATTGTTCTTTTGTCATTTGTCGTTCAATGCATTTGTATTTTTTACCAACAAAAGTTGTTATTAACTTATTACCATAGCACGGCGCAACATTATTGATCTATTTTCTTCAATCTCACCCCTCCACCACTCTCTCTCTCTTCCTTCTTCATTCCTCTTTCTCCCCTTCTTTCCCTTATTTAAGCAAGCATTACAAACACAAACCATTAGTCAGCTTTAGAGGGGTAATATTGGGTTTTTGAAAAAAATTAATGAAGTTTAACAACACATGAACTCACATGAAACCAATTCTTTACCTCATTGAAGGGAGGTCTTTCTCCCATGACGTCAACCAATAGGGGAGGTGTTAGTCAATTTTGAAAATAAAGGGGAAGTCTTAGTATTTAGCATAAATCAATTCAATTTTATTCTTATTTTAATAAATATTTTTTTATTTTTTATAATTTATTCATATTTTTTAATATTATTTTGACTTTAATAAATTATTTTTTATGAAATAATACAAATTGAACTCAATTTTATCAAATAATCTGTTTTAGGGGTAAAATAGTAAAATTAAAGAATTTCATATACTGAAGGTTTGGTCCAATACAAACAACCTTCTCTATTCAGTGCCTCTAAAAAGTCAAAAAGCACCTATATATCCCCAACTGGGGTCGGCCAGTCGGGGTAGGGGATGCGGAATGAAGTCTCCACCCTGCCTCAACCCCGAATATATATATATAACCCGTCTTCATTGGGAATCAGGGATGAAGGACAACTTTTATCTCATAATGGACCAAAGTCAGAAAGGAGGAATATGATCCTTGCTCCAAACCCACCTGTTGTCATTCCTAATAGTCCTCGTATAATAAAACTCTATGAACCTGCAGCTACATGGTAGTTTGGAAGACTATTTGGGGCCAGAAGGGGCTTCCATCAAGGGTCTAATGATTTTTTGGGAGGTATAGCGAGGGCGATTCCTATAAGGAAGCATCAGCCGGAGTCTTTCGAGATAGATGGTTTATGCTCTGTATGTGCAGTAAAGAAGTTGAGAAGATTGAGTGCATATTGTTTCACTACGAGCACACCAAGTATGTATGGTTTGGGACACCCCTAGTCCTGTCTCAGAACTGTGACTGCAAGTTGGTGGCTAGGGAGCTAGGGTGCAATTCGGGCAGGTTGGATCAGATTGAGTACAAATTTCAGGCTCAGGTCTGACCCAACTTGATGTTAAGCCCAAATTTATCAATTCAGGCCCAACCTGAGCTTAACCCAATACAATTTAGGTTGGGTTCAAGTTTGGCTTGGGCCAGGTCGAGTTAGTCAAGTTTGGGTGGGTTGATTGGGTTTGAATTTACATAAATTCTTTCAAATTATTGCTCACACATTCACAAAGTTGATCTTATGAACATTTTGGGGTAATTTGATGTGAAATCACAACCTTCGGTAGATGGGAGGTTGTTAGAGAATGAAAATTTTAGATTTCCCCTATGAAACCATGCAAAAGACAACCTTGGCTACTTGTGCTATAACAACAATGGCAAAGAAACAGTTATAAAAATATCTTTGAAACTAAATCTGTCTTAATTGTTTTCCTAAGGTTTTGGCTTGTTCTAAACTATCAATCATTTCATTGAAAGGTTCAATTTCTAAAACCCTGAAATCTTAACTTCAGTCATTGTAGCAACAGCAAGCTCATCATTGTAGAACAGTGGCGAAAACTTAAGCTCCATACTATTATCCAAAAAAGGATGCTCATTCAAAATGTAAAAAGTACCCATACACTCCATGACACTCAAATCAGGATAAAAATAAAATAAAACTTCTACTGACAAATGGACATGCATACAGAACATTGATTGAATCACTACCCCTCTTAATCAGAACCTGTTCTTTTGTAGTTTTGACCAACAAAAGTTGTTATTACCATAGCAGGGCGCACAATTGTTGACCTACTTTCTTCAATCTCCCGATTAAGACCAGAGTGACCCTGTCCTCCACCTCTTTCTCTCTTCCTTTCATTCCTCTCCACTCTTTTCTTTCCTTCTTCGTTCTTCTTTCTCCCCTTCTTTGCCCTGTTTCAGATAGCATTACAAACACAAACCATTAGTAAGCCTTAGAGGGGTAACATTGGGTTTTCGAAAAAAAAAAATCAATAAAGTTTAACGGCACACGAACTTGCATGAAACCAATTCTTTACCTCACGGAAGGGAGGTCTTAAAGGCAAGTCTTTTACCCTTTTTTAATGTAATATTTAATCAACGGGATTGAGTATACAAGGCTACCAAGTACCAACCCACTGCTTCGGTCATCTTAAATCAAGAAAAAATGACATTGTGGCATCAGAAGTTCATTCCAATATTGCCGTCACATAGCCTATTCGAACATGTGGACTTCAGAATTCCTCAGTCATAAGATTAACGAAACCGTGAAGGGAGAGTTAGTTTTTTATAGAGGGGCTACAAAACTTGGGTTCTCAATGGCATTCAAAAATAAGATTTCAAATTTGGGATTCATAATAATCGAATTCAGATATTGATAATATTTACACAAAACAAATTCAATTTCATCAGATATTACATTTTCATATCACTCAGATATTCAGAGGTTCAAAGTATCAACACATATCAGCCCATATTGGCCGATAAGTATCACTCTGGAACCCCTCAGATACACCCCTATAGTGGGTGTATCGGGGTCTGACCGGTTCAGGGGGTGGAGGAAACTTAAACCAGCCCCCCTAACCAGTTTCAACAAAAATAAGAAAAAAGTATCAATTCACCCAATACACCCCAACCTGCGCATCCGGCGTATCATTCAGATATTGAATTATGATTTATTCGATTTGAATTGAATACGTTTACACCCTATACACAAGGTCGCCCATCCCCCATACCATAACGCTCCATACGGTATGAGTCCAATAGGTAAAGATCCTTCCTACAACTACAAGACATGAAACCCGTTAAAAGTTTAATCTTTGGTTTGAAGGAAAAGTTGGGAAAAGGAAGGGAAAGACAAGAAACCAATACAAGGGTTGTAAATGATGTTTTTTACTGTAATGAGGGGGTCTTCAGCAATTAATTAACATAAAAAAAAAAAATAGGGTCAGAAAGAAGGGTTTGATTTTCAGTTCACATCTACAACCATGGTCGCAGTACTCCCCTGTAACACTCCAAAAAAAATCCCAAACCAGCATTAGCAATAACCAATAAATTCAAAATATCACCACCATAACTGAATTTTTATTTCGAAAGCTGATGCATCCATGTTTCATTGGGGATCGTGTGAAGCCACGGACGCAGAAGATACGTTCAAGACAAAGCGTTCGGACAAGTCTCTAGGAGGTATCGAAAAGACATTGTTAGTAAAGCGAGTAGGTGATTCGTGATTTTCCCTTTGTATAAAAAAGAAAGAGTGAATAGGTGTTTTAAGGTAGCATTTGGCATTCCTTATTTCAAAGACTTTTTGGTTGTTAAAATACCCACACTGGGTTTTTTAATGCAAATAGGTGATAAAGTCCTAAAAAAATAAGGAATGCCAAATGCAGCAATTAAACTAGAATTTATAATAAATTCGAATAAGCACATCCCATCCACTGATTGAAGTTACAGACCAATGTACTGCCTCCCACGACCCACGCATAGAAAATACAAAGATTTCCTACAGATATCCTACATTAAACCATTTAAGACCCACCAATAGGCAGGTTCTTCAATTCATACATACGGAGAAGTCTCCAAATACAGACATTTAGGGGAGAGAATGGGGGGAGAATATTATCATCATTACAACATATCACATGGATTAATAGAAAATCGACAGAAGGAATTACATTTTCAAAACAGTCCTTCAAATAAACTCAATTAGTAACAAAAACAGCATAAAGTTCGGTCTCTCTTGGTTAAGAGGGATGAATCTGGGGAAAATATCTCACCGACAAAAGATTGGGACCGAGTGCAGAGGGCCTACGTCTATAAGGCCCAAAACAAGTCCAAGGACCCTAGATTCCGTTTGTCCGGACCCACAATCAGTTCAAAATCTTATAAAAAAGGCACAGTTGAATCAAATGTTTAGACGGTATTCAAAGCTCAAATCAAATGTTTGGACGGTATTCATAGCTCAAATCAAATGGTTAAATATTTACGACAAAAAAAAAAAACGAACATATACTAAATGGTGAAGGCTGACTATTACCACAGAACAATTATCACCCCAATCCAAGTAATCAAAATTAAATGTTCTATTAACATTCTTACCCTAGCAACATACCCTAACAGAGGGTCCAATGGATAGACCAAGACAACAAAATATCAATTTAGATTCATGAACAAATTAACAAGCAGAGCTACCAAAACATACATCCCGCCAAACTCTCTTAAAAAGGAACAAACAGCCAACCCTCACTCCACCGAGCTGTTTAACAAAAAGCATACACCCCGACAAAACCAACATGGCATCATCAAACCAAATTTCCAAGCAGCACAGCCTCCGCAGTCCTCTCAACAGACAAATTTCATCAGCTTAATTTTCAACAGTAAATTGCTCCATCAATGCAGTTTCAATTTCTTTTTCCTAGTGTAGATCAATTCATAACATCATAATTAAAAGGGAAGCAATCTAAGATTATTATTTCGAAAGAAGTTCAGCATATATATTCCTCGAGAAAATTTGAAAAGGCTGACTCTTAAGTCCTAGCCACTAAATCACTGAAGCTATATCATGGCCAGCTTACTAGTTAAGAGTCCAATGAGAGCAAAAGAACTTCGACTCAGAAAACATAACCATACTAGAAAATTATTCATTTGGTACATAACCAAATTGAAATCCCAATGACTAGCAATTCTCATCATATACCTTCAGCATAAAAAAGTTCTCTTTTCCCGTCAGGGTTATTTAACTGTTCAAATTGATAAATCCTAGCAAATCTACATTGTCCAAATCTCTATTAAGGTCAAGCTTGTCTGTGAACCGTTTCCAAGAAGAAAATGCAATACATGCCTAAATTTAGAAGCCAAATTAATGGAAAAGCAACTAATTGTCTTCACCATCACAATTTTGGGGTGAAAATATGTTGGTTTCAATAACTTTGAAAACTCATTTTTTATCAATGACCAGGCAAAAGATTGAAGGAATATCAATATCTCTCTCCACCAAAACTGACTTTTCTAATTGTCTTCACCATCACAATTTTGGGGTGAAAATATGTTGGTTTCAATAACTTTGAAAACTCATTTTTTATCAATGACCAGGCAAAAGATTGAAGGAATATCAATATCTCTCTCCACCAAAACTGACTTTTCTTTTGATATCTCAGGCCATTGTCCCTTCAAAGTAATTCTCTTACAGGCCAAACAAATTATAGATCAGGATGGGCCCATATGATCAAAGAGATTAGATTCCCATCACTATCACAATTAACCATTCAATTTCACACCTTAGGCCTACTATTTCTTTAATAGTAGTTTCTCCAAAACCATTTGAATGTACTATAATATGTATATGGCACTTATTTTGCTCAGGTGGGACTGATAAGTCAACCAAAACATTACCTTGCATAACACATCCTAGCTGCCAAAGAACTTTATTCTAGCTGACTAAAGAATTTGAAAGATATATGTACTTGAAATGGCACTTTTCCAAGTCCCACTTCTCTCGTCTCAAAGTCCCGTTTATCTATCCAAGGACAACAGCTTCAAAGCAGTATCAATTAAAGCATCCAAACGAATTACTGGTTCACTTTATTACCTTCCATACCAGAAGTTGCCTACTTAACCATTTGATGAAGATAGTGCTGCAAGCAAATCCTAGCAATAACTTGGAAGATTTCTTCACTTTGTAGCACAACCCTCACAAACGGGTAAATTAAGAGTAGACTTGAAAAGAAAATTGGCCAAGGACCAAGGACGTCAACAACTGATAAAAACAATATTCCAGAGAATGTTAGGCAAAAACGGACATCATTAACAACACATGGTAACTCACAAAGACGGTTATGGAAGCATATTTAAGGACCATCATTAGCAAAAAAAGTTAAGAGAAAAGGATGGGAATAATACCTTTGTCAACTTCATGTATTAGCCAACCAACAAAACACCAATTAAATTTAATGACCAACATGAATCTGGCGCTAGCAGGGATTCCTTATGTGGCTGAACTGACTCCAAAATATAAAAATCCAGTTCAAAGTGAGATTTGCTCCATCTCAAGCAAAAGAACAAATGGAAGATCAAATCTGGAATTTTTTTCTTTTTCTTATTTTTTATCAAACAACAATTTCAGAGAAAAACATTCTAAGCCATGGAAATTTCACTGCAAATCATTTACCCAGGTTTAAAATTTAAATTCCCGAAATAGAACAAATATGTACTAACCAAATAGGCTGTTTCTGGGAAAAGTCATCAAATAATAAAATAGGAGCATTTTAGACTTTTTGACAAACCAGCAACTGTTCCAGATGACTGAGCGGTTAAAAACAATCTATATAGATCCACATTGATCTAGTTTTTTCTAGTCAAAATCTAAAGGAAAGATCAACAACACTGAACTAATTTTTTTTTTCTTGAAGAAAATCCCATCTTGTTGTATCAATCAAAAGTTATGCTTTCATTGTACATCCTAGAGGGGAAAAAGAAAACAAAAGAGTGCAGTTATGGTAGTTAAGGAAGCTGCTTGCACTGCTTCATGAAACAACCTGCAAAAACAAATAAGGTCAGAACATATAACATATCAAAATTTAAATCATCAGATTTCAGTAACCACTTGAGATTTCAGCTTGTTCCCAATTGAGCATGTCAGAGATGAGTAATGGACTCGGTGTAACAGAATTCAGTTCTAAAAGACAAAATTAACCACACTGCACCTTACAACCAATATCAATTCAGGTTATCTTCAGTGTGATGGTATGTTAAAAAAATAACTCCACAAGAACAACATTCAGCAACTGCTAGAGAACCTAAAAACATATTTTATCACTAGAAAGCATATAATGTCATGAGGTGACCATCCCAAAATAGACAAAAAAATGTCAATTATGCCTATCAGACTCTAAAAGTACAGAAAGTTCTAGACTCGTGACTCAATCTAGTAGTCAAAGCTTTCAACAAAGCAACATGAGAACTTAAAATAGTACAGAGTTTTGAAGAAGCATAACAATAAAAAAAAAAAAAAAAGTGATGGAAAATAAGACTGAAACTCCACTTGACAATCCTATGTTTTTGGTCTTTAAAGCAACACTTCATCATAAATATAAAGGTGGCATTTGCATGAGCTCCTGGAACTTCAGAAGAATCACCAGTCCTGACTAAAAGGTTGACGCAATAAGGAATCTGCACAATGAATAAGTAAAACATAAAAACCAGTTTCCAAAAAAATAAAATTTCCGAGTCAGAAACCTTCATGCTAGTTTGAAAAAAATATATAAATTCATCAAAATGCACAACTAGGTACTTTTGATACTTTAAATTGAGAACTTTGAAAAATAGAAGTACCCCCCCATATTTTATCAAATTAATATGTAATAACAAGCTCAATTTGTTAGAAAATAAATGAATGCAGTAAAAGTATCAACAAAAACTCTCAAAATGGAGTACTACAAATATTAACGTATGGGTGAAACAAAATCAAATGTGATTTCAAAGTATAAATCAGTTCAAAACAAATTGCCAAACTCTTACGTAAAACAGAAAAGGCTTTCTTCACATTCAAGAAAAAATGAAAAAGACTTGCAATTATGCAAAACCATGAAGTCAACTTAAAACACAATAACAGAGTTTCATCTTAAACCAAGATGAATAGCAAAGTCACAGTGGTATGGTCAAAAGGAATCAGTTCATAACACTTAAAGATCAAATAAAACTGATTTTACTTGGTCAGCCAGGCATGGTAAATGTTCCTATAGCTTTAGGTGAAATACATAAGAGGACAATTGAACAAGAAAAGCAGCTACATGACACCTAATTAGGAACCTATCTATATAAGCAATGGATAACTGCATAAATAAATCAAGAATATTTCATCCATGATACACATCTTTCTCGATTTGTGTGCCATCCTTGCACAGGGGCCATGCTAATCTTCTCTGTATCGTTCATGACCTACTACCCAGACTTTCTGCAATTAAATCCCAGATTGCCACTCAACTCCATTCCCCAACATGGCAAAGAAAAGTAGTGTTAATGAACAATAAAGGTTCACTAGAAGAATGGTTTGGGCCGTTTGGTTTGATAGTAAATACACTATTGATATTTTAAACATGTGGCTAATGGGGTAGAAGAGGGCATTGTTGATTATACAAGTATCCACTATCAGCATCATAGAGGGCCCCTTTGTAGCCAATGGGAGACTCATAGAATCATAGATACTACATACAGCACAAGTGCCAAATATAACAAAGTCGTTAATTTATAACAGTGTTGTGTGTATGCACTATACTGCTAGAAACTACAAAGTCGTTAATTTATAACAAACAGCACAAGTGCCAAATATAAAACCCCATGGAAGAATCACAGGTATAATGTACATCAATGAGATACAGAGTGATACAACACTGCTAGCAAGTTCATTGTTTTATAACAAGTTCCAAATCTAGATCACATTTGAGACCCAAAGATACAACATATAGCCATGAGATACAAACCGATATAACAAATTGTGCATGTGAGGTGGCTACACTGCTAGCAAATGCATTGTTTTATAACAAGTGCCAAATCTAGAACCCATGTGCTCCATCACAAATTCTCAATGTAAAAATCCGTCAATAATTCCAATTATAGCAACTCAGTCTTCTTCTGATTCTTTTGTCCAGCTAGAAACAAGGCCTAAAGAAAAAGATCTAATGTGCATGCACGCACTACATTGTTAGCAAGTGCATTAGCTTATAACAAATAGCATAAGTGCAGAAACTAAAACCCATAGGCTCTGTCTCAAATTCATAATGCCAAAATTCACCAACAAGAACTATTATAGCAATTCAGTCAAATTCTTTCTTCTGATACTTTGTCTTGTTAGAAATAAGGCATAAAGACAATATTATAATGTTTTACAAACAGAAGTGTATTTTTTTCTATATAAGACCTAAAGTTTTAACTGCGAAAGAAGAATAGGATTTTCAATATTTATTCAATTTTACAAGATTATAGAGGGAAACCCTCCCCACATTTGTAAACATGAATGATCTTGTTAGCAGGAAAAAAACATGTATAATCTACAGACAGTCCTTATAAATGACCAAAAAATCAAATTCAGGTTTCCAAACCTCACCAATAACATGTGAAAGTAATCCTACTAGCATGCAATTCCATTATAAAACCAGTACTATACTCATAAACACTATATACCCATTCTTCCAGTCATTCCCAAGGAATTAGAAATGAAAATAAATCCATAAATTATACAACAACAGAAAGTAAGTGGAGCAAGCATAAACTTTTGCTAAAGAACTGTTTTTTCCTATAAAGTCTTCGGAAGGCCCAACACAGAAGGGCCAACTACGATGTTGCAAAGTCTAAACTACATTTCACATCATTCATTCTAAGGAACACTACAATAATTTCAAGTAAGGAAATGTCATAAAAGGCATATATTTTATCTGGCATACCTGTGCCTTACCTAATGACCCATGTATGGTGCAACTCCACCCATATGACCAACACCCTGCTGCGACCTCCCAGCATTCGGCTGTCCCATTTGCGGGTTCGGGTATCCGCCCTGCATGCCAGGCTGGTTACCATAACCAGCCATCACGCCTGGACTGATGTTACTCCCCACAGCTTGGCTCCCATACCCACCCTGCATACCGTGGCCTGCGTTGTTCACCATTGGTGGCACAGTCTGGTTGACTTGGGCCCCCATGCCAGTCGACCCAAGAGTGCCAAGCAGGTTAGTAAGTCCTAATCCAGCACCCTGTGTTGCAAGCAATGCTATCGCCTGACCGAGAGCAGGGTTTAATGTCTGTGGAGCTCCCTGGTTGAATGATACCCCAGCTGCGGACGGTGCCATCATGTGCCCGGGCCCAGCTGCGGCAGCATGGTTCCCCATAGAACCCATAAAATTAGGGTTTTCATTCCTTTGGAAATGTGAACCATGCATCGTACTAGATGAATGGTGTGGATTATGGTGATGGTAATATGGCTTATTCGGCTTCGGACCGTCTATTGCCTTCTGACAATGCAAGATATGCCCCTCATAATTTTTGTGAGGTTCCTCCAGTGCCTTCTTTGCGCTATCAATTGACTTGTAAACGAAAAGTGCGAATCCCTTTGGCTTCCCAGTCTGCTTGTCTAACCCTAACGGACCCTCCTCAATCTCCCCATACTTAGAAAAGAAATTGAGCAACCTCTGAGGGTCAATATCGGCAGATACGTTGCTTACATAAATCTTCCGCTGTGTATACTCCGATACCGGCGGTGCAGGCGGTGCCGCCTGTGTCGCTGGTGGAACCGGCCCAGCCGAAGCCAGTTGGCAGGCAGTCATCCGATTGCCAATCCGCTTCTGCGGCTGCTTGAGTGCCTTGCGGGCTCCACTGCGGTGCTTGAAGAGGATGAAACCGTAACCCTTGGATTTTCCAGTGATCTTGTCAATTACAGCGTTGCAGTCCTCGATCTCTCCATATTTCTTGAAAACATTAATAAGAATTTCAGCATTGGTGTCCCAGCCCAAGCCATGGACAAAAATCTTGCGATGAACAGGGTCCACATCGGCGACCTTGCGAATGCGGTCCATGATGTCGGAATGCTGATCGGCAGCCTCCCTAAGGAGATCGATGAGCTGATCTTTCGTGAAAGGTTCTAGGAGCTTCTGGACTGGCTCTTCGGTATCATCATCACCTTCGTCGGTACCATCTCCATCGGCGTGTGCCGACGACGGTGCCGGAGCCGCCTCCCCTGCAGCACTTGCAATTGGAGATGCGTTGGCGTTGGATGTTTCGGGGGCATTGTCGTTGTTTTCCGTTTCCTCCTCTTCATCTTCTTCTCCGTCTTCGGGATCTTCGGTGTCTATTTGCTCTACTTCTTCATCATCTACTTCGAAGGGAGCCTGCTCTTCCAACTGTTCTTCTTGCTGCTGTTGTTCCTGCTCTTCCACCGTGTTGGCTGGTTCTGCTTCAATTTTGGGCTCCAGCTTTCGCTTCTTCGCCATAGCGGGAAGGCTAGGAGAACAGACAGAAGGTAATGATGCTATGGAGAGGATTAGATGCAAAGAGAGGGATTTTCTGGCTAGGGTTTGGAACCGTCCCGGTCGGTGGAGTTATATGCATGTTATTTTAAATTACCCCTGCAACTTTTGCAGTTTTTCCATTATGTGCCAACCGGCAATATATTTTAGGGAAAATTCTAGTTCAGTACTCGATGTTTAGGAGTAGTGTCAAATTAATACTCAAACTTCAAAAACGTGTCATTGTAATACTCAAACTTTCGAAATTTGTCAAATTGATCCCTACCGTTAGTATTCCGCCCGTTATCTTGGTCACGTAATGACATGTGACAGTTAGAAATCTTCAACATGTCAAAATCACCCTTTTAGTGTTATGCTAGTTTTAAGATTAACGGCGATCGTTGTTATGTCGGTTTTTCAAATCCGACGTTTCAAAGAAGAGGGAGGAGCACACAATAGAAAGAGAGAGAGAGAGAGAGAGAGAGAGATGGCATCGGCGGCTGTCGAATGTTGCCTCAGATTTGGAAAATCTAAGGATTGCACTCCAACTCTCCATCAAACTGAAACATGAATCTATGATTAAGGATCCGCTCTCACATTCAAATGCAACTCGCCAAAGAACCCTTGGCATTCTTACCAACTGAAATCCAACCATTGTGGAAAATATAAGCCTCTGACTCTGTTCCCGCCAGGTCCAGAGGCAACGAAACCCTTCCCAATAATCTTCCCGAGTTGACACCGCATGTGGTCCCCCTCCGTCCAGTGTATAGCACAATCTTTAGGCAAGGCTTCCCGAAAAAAGAAAGAGCTATCGCCGAGCCGGACTCTCTAGATTGACTTCACTTAAGTGGAAGCTGGGTGCCATGGTCTGAGGTTGTTTAGTGTCGAGGAACTGATTCTCGTTCGTGTAGGAATAAGGAAATGATGGTAGTCTGTTAAGGGAAGTTGTTGAGTCGGATTTTGCAGAAACAAGGAGCTTATAGAGCTGGAGGAAAAAAAAAACAGTTGTGAATCTACTGTCCTGTTTGGGTCGATTGGCTGGGGGTTTGCTTTCAAGCGGGCACCTACAAAAACCCATATTCCTTGGAATTCCTTAGTAAAATTCTGCTGATGCCCTTTCCATTCCTCTCAATTCCACATTCTACATGCACAAATTCTTGATAATTCATAAGAGAAGAAGAAAATTTCAGCCTACGTCCTTGTGGTTCTTATACAAACATTACATGCCACCTAATTCGACTGCATGCTCAGAAAAGCAATCAAAGCATCTAATTTTCATCCACATCCAACCTCCGAATCAATTCAAAATCCTTCTTTTGTATACTCTCTATTGGATTTCGTCTTGGGGTCTGTTTGAGGAGTTTTAAGTTGGTGGATTTTCATAAGATCTGGTGGGTTCTATTGTATGGGCTATCTCCAAATGGTTTATTTTTGTAGCTTGATTTCTTTCTACAAGTCTTTTGGTCATCCTACAAATATGATGATTCCATGCAAGCAGGGCAAAAGCAAGTAAGAGCGTGAAATTTTTTTAGGAAAAGCAGATGGATGACCTTCAAGTGGTTCGAGAAAGGGAGAAAAGGGGCAAAACTCTAGAAAATATACATAACACCAAAGATGGTTCTAACTGGTTTTGGACTATAGTTTTTACTACGTTTTGTTATTTTATATTAGAATTGTACTATTCTATATTTTTCTGTGCATCTTTGGTGTTTGACATAGAACCACCTTTGGTGTTATGTATATTTTCTAGAGTTTCATTCAGAGTTAAATATGTTTCAAGGGATATTACTTATAGTGATAATGTTGTTTATCAATAAGGAAGATATGAAAGCTAAGCGTCGTCAAGGTTTGAACCCATATGATTCAAAGAGGATAAACCGATGTATGGGGTTTTCTATAATTTGATTGCAGGCTCAAACCAAAACGTAAATCAGATTTGATCATTCAAACAATTATCTTCAGAGATATGCCAAAGGTGTGTGTGCCTACTGGACCCACTAAAACAGGGGAACAAAGGAAAATCGTACCAGGGCTTAAACCTAATTGTCTCATGCATCAGTATGACAGGAAACCTTACCAAGATCACAAAGATAAGCAATTAGTCAAATAAAGCAGTTATAGGAAAGCCAAATTGAATGTCTACTTACAGAAATCGCAAAAGGAAGAAGCCACCATTTGATTTCATAATTCGTAGAATAATGTACAGACACACGACCAAACTGATCAATACCAAAGGATACTTGGTTGGGTTCTTAAACTCCTTAGATTCTTGAGATTGAATGGAATATTGGATCATCTTGACACATGACCGAATTGATCATTTCCATATTCGCTAGGTGCACCGTTCCATATCCATGGTAGTTGTCTATCACAAAGACCCAAGAAGGAACCATGCTTTTTGCATGATGCACTCTTTCTAGTCCTCATAAATATGAAATTTCCCTTTTTTTTTTTCTTACCGTTTGCCTTGTGCAATTCAATTTCGTAGAGATACGTATTGACTTCCACCGAACTCTAGACCATAGGCAAGCACTCTATCTCTCTCTCTCAGGAAAGAGTCACAACTATCCAGCCCATGGTGATGCTTCCCCAAGCTTTTTCCATACATGAATGCAACAAAAAATACCTAGAAAACCTGCTAAACATGCATCTCCGATCATCTCCCTAGCAGTAGATGTCTTAACGGCGAATCGTAGGATCTCCTTCCAGCCAAATCGCATACACCTTTCATTGGTATCCCTTCATTGTTGTCGTCGGTCAATTTAAGAACATCGCTGCCAATAATGCCATGAGACCTCATTCGAAGTTCGAACGTTCTCAATCGCCTGGTCATTGCTAGAAAATTCTTAGTAGAGCCACTCTGCTAGCTATTGGAAGGCGAGCAGAGCAGTTTTGTGCTCAGGTTCAAGCCTTCGATGACTCCTTATCAAGATGACCACGATGAAGCGTGAGAGGAGCCATTTCGGCAGCAGGGATGTGGGAGCATTGATCTCGTGGGAGACCCTAATCCTCCTTGTTGTGGTATAGATTCCATGGTGATGGTAGACAAGAGTCATGGAACTGAGAAATTTTGTTGAAGCCAACAATGGGAGAGAACTCGCTTAAAACGCCGTTGTTCGGTGCCGAGAGATGGAAGACGAGTAATAAAAATATGGGGATTCTACCCCAATCAATTGAGAACACATTCGTCTTTGAGCAGGGAGATTGTGATGGGGGATAAGGAAGAAAGACATGAGAGAAATTGTAGGAGAATGAGTGTCGTTGCTGAAGTTTTAGCAACGGTGGTGGTATGTCAATCCGAACTAACGAGGCAAATAGGGGAGGGAAATGTGATGTTTGTGGGTGGTCATTGCTCTCTCTTGCCGCCGTTGGTTTCTATTTGTAGAAGACGATGAACATTGAGACAACAACGAGGGATGAGGGGTCGGAGGTGGAAGAGATTGCCCCCGTCGTTGCTGGGTTAAGAGATGAGGGGTCTCAGTTCCCTATTACTACGGGCGGTTCGCCTAAGAAAATCTATGTAGCCTTGTGTCGCTGACGGAGACAAATCTCAAAAACGGTGATTGGTATCCAAACCATCATCCACACTGGTTTTAACTCCCGACTCCCATCAAATCTTGATGCCATCGTCTGCTCTAGATATCGGAGACGAACAAGAGATTCTATTGTTGGTGTGGTGGTAAAGCGATGGAGGTTGGTCAAGTCTCCAAGGTCCGCAGGAAAGAGAGAATGTCAGGGGGATTGTAGAGGATGGTAGGATAAAATAACAGGAGGAAGAAAGAGAAACCGAAAGAGACAGAGTCATAGTTAAATTGTATCCGTTGTCCCATTGGGGAGACTGTTCCCTAACCCAAGGCTATAAGTGATATTGGCTAGTCGTTATATTTTTCGTTCTTCGTTGATTTGTGATGGCTATAAGCCCATTTTAGGTTCGTGATAGCTATGAGCTCTGGCAAGCTTGCGATGGGCAAAGTACACAATAAATTAGCAACATAGAAATGAAATGGATTTGCTCAAATGGTTATGGCATCATGGCATTCTCAAATATAAAAAACACAAAAAAAAAATGATCAAATCTTCCTAGCATAGATGCTTGGTCATTTTTATAAATAAAAACAGTGGAAAATTAGAATTATTTACCTCATTCCCAACATTGAGCTTGCAAATGGGACATTCACTACATGTAGTTGGAACAATATTTAGATTAACTTGGGAAACTCCTGATTAAACACTTCCACTGCTTCTCTCCACATAACCAAAAACAAAATTTATAACCACTAAAACAGTAACCAAGGTTCAAAGTATTGTTACGTATTGGTCGATACGTATCGTTTTGGGACCCTTCCGATACGCCCCTACAGTGGGTGTATCGAGGGTCTGACCGGTTCAGGGGATGGAGGGGTCCTATACCGGCTCCTCTAAAATAGTTTTGAAAAAAAAGTAAAAAAAACATCGACACCCGATATGCCCCTACCGACGTATCGGGCATATCAATATTTTGAACCTTGACAGTAACAAAAACACAACAAAAGGGGGGAAAAGAATTTATTAAACAATACAATATTGTCACACATACATCCTTAAGACAAATATATATGCATCTAATGGCCTATTTGTTTGCTATGAAATCTGACATCGGAAAGTGCAATAATTATATTAAGAGGTATATTGGTATTGGTAAACTTTTTTTTTCCTCTGAACTCTGAATATAAAGAATGTTGTTCTCAATTCTGAATTCTGAAAATTATCAAATATCCATTTTGACTCCATATATGAGAGTTTTTGTTTGTCTTTTTGGAATATCATTGAAAAACAAAAAGTTGTATGATTACAATTTAAAAGATAAGAAATAAGAGATAAGAGAAAACGAACAATCATTTTTCTCTTAAAGTTAAAAGATTCATCTTAAGAGATAGGAGTTAAGAGGAAACGAACAGGCCCTAAGGTCCATATTTTGGATACATAATAAAACAAAAATAACCCTTACATATCATTTACAATGTAGTATGGTAGAAGGAACTAAACTATTGGCATGCCTAAGCTAAAAAAAAAAGACTTGAAATTGTTGAATAACCAATATTAGTTAAACCAGTAGAGTTGATAGTCATTTTAAAGCTATTTGAACTAATGAACGAAAAAACTGATTAAGGCTGCAACTTGGGCCGGGTTGGCCCGAACCCAACCCAAAAAAGTCAAGTTGGGTTGGGTCGGGTTTATGTTTGGGTTAGGGTTAGAGTTGAAATTCATGAACCCAACTTTATTTCGGGTTGGGTTAGGATTAACCCCTTGGGCAACCTGACCCAACCCGAACCCAACTCTATAGTATATGTCATATAAAATATATGTTATATATAATATATCATACATTGATTTTTTTTAGATGTACGATAGTTGTATAGGTTTCACTACATATTATCATGTCTTTCTTTTAAGATAATCACTTCACTTAATCCTAAATGAAAAGACTAAAACCTTAATAACATATTTTATGTTTTTTTGAAAGTTTTATTCTTCATCTCCTCTCTAATGTTTGGCACTTATAAAAGATCTATCATAAATCATAACTCATAGTAAACTATAGTCATTTCAAACACTTATTTTTCCGATTTTGTACTAAAAGAACCAATAAAAACATTAACAAACAAATGCTAATCAAACATAGGATTAATATATATAGTGAACAATGAGTTAAGGTTTGAAATTAAATAGTTTTATGATATTTTAAGGAATGGGAAGAAGATTGGGTTGGGCCCAACCCGAAGTCAACTTCGAGTTGGGTTGGTTTAGGGTTGATGGAATTTAGTTAGGGTTGGGTAGATCGTGTTGAAGGTTGGGTTAGGGTTCGATGTTTAGAACTTAGGGTTAAGCTAGGGTTGACCTCAATCCGACTTAACCCGGCCCGACTTGCAGCCCTAAAATTGATACCTAATTCAATAAAAATCCATTGTTAAACCAAAACACTAATTGATTAAAATTAATTGAATCACAAAAAAAAAAAAAAACAAGAGAAAACATAAAACACAAAATCGGCTTATAAAACATATAATTCTAAACCCGATTTCATTACATATGTTGTTAAGCCGAAACCATAATTAAAATTAATAGAATAATAATAACAAATTTTTTCATAAAATAAGTAATGTAGTTAAAACCTATGGCATTTCTAGTTAAAAACTAAATGATTATTAGAGGAGAATAACATAGATTAGAAACAACCTCTTAGATGGGGAAAAACACAACATTGCTGAGAAGGACTCTAGCATGTTTTCTCGTTCAATATTTATTACCGCAAAAATTCTAATTATCAACAAAACCCAAGAAGTGAAACACATGGAGTTTCATTTTCGATAAATGTTGATGTTGAAATAATCTTATACCATTTGCTTTTTCTATGGCTTTTATAGAGGATAATATTGTAAAAGCGAAATTAGGCTCATTTGTCAATATATACCAAACAAAAGCTTGTTACTTAGGCATGGGTAATATTGGAAAAGGAAATCAAGGTCTTCGACCATTGTACTTGCTCCATTCTCATTTTTATAAATGGTCAATATCAACATATAATTTCTTATTTTTTAGGACTGCATAGGTGATATACATGGCATACATATTAGTGCACCAACCTTAGCAAGAATATATTCAATATAAGGGAAGGAAGACCAAGTGTACAACAAATGTGATTGTAGCATGTTCATTTGATATGGAGTTCACATTTGTATATGTAGGATGGGAAGGGTTTGCATGTGATTCAAGAGTCTTTGTAAAAACTATCTCTCGTCTAAATTCAAAATTTCCAGATCCTCCAACTGGTAAAACTACTATATAAAGTTAATAGGAAAAAATATTTTATTTATTTAAATGATATAATTGATAACAATTTAAATATTATATGAAAATACTATCTCGTACATTCTAGATAGGGGTGAGTATGGATTGGTTTGATTCAGTTCCATAGCAGAACTTAGAACCTATTCTGTAAGGGTCAGTTTTAGGTTTTGGAATAAGAACTTACCATGTGAAGGTCGGTTTTGGCCTTGGCGGTTCTGGGGTCAATTCCAAGGTCTATTCGTGAAACCTGTTATTTCTTTACTCTCCCCATTTAGCCAAAAAAAAAAAAGAGAGAGAGACTTGCCCTTTAAAACAGACCTTAGAATTGCCAAGGTCAGATCTAACCTTGGAATTGACCTTAGACCGATGAAACAATTGAAGTTGAAGTAATGGAATAATCATAATGATTTGAGGTTGATATGGATGATGGTGATAATCCCTTGTTAGGTCATGAACCCTGCTATTTATAGGTGAGTGGAGAGCTCATTTCATGCATGGACAAAAATTATAGAATATTCCCTAGGTTGTTAAGGGCACACTTTTTTGTGAGAGAAATGACCATGAATTCTAGACTAGGTTCAAAATATCGATATGCCCGATACGCCTCGGGTGTTTCGATACTTGTTTTTTACTTTTTTTTTATATATATGTTTTTTCAAAACTGGTTCAGGGGAGCCGGTCTAGGACCCCTCCATCCTTTGATCTAGTCAAACCCCTGATACACCCACTGTAGGAGTGTATCGGAAGGGTCTCAGAATGATACGTATCGGTCGATATGGGCCGATATGTAACGATACTTTGAACCTTGATTCCAATATATTCTTTACGTAGCCGAGGACTTGAATCCCTAGGTTGCTCCGATGAGGATAGTGCAGGGAACACACATGCTTTGATTCCGATGCCCACAGGTTCCTACTATGTATTATTTGGACTGAATGGTGCTGGGGTTAGTATGCTCAATTACTTAGATTGATGAAATGGTTGAGGTTTAAGGAATGGAATAATCATAATGTCTTGGGTCTGATATAGATGTTGGTGATATTCCCTTTTCGTGTCATGAACCTTGATATTTATAGACTAAGGGAAGACTCACTTTGTGCATGGGCAAGAATTCTTGAAAATTCGCTAGGCAATTAAAGGCTCACTTCGTGCATGAGCAAGGATCAAGAGTCTATAACATTCTTTAGGTGGTTAAAGGCTTGCAGCCCTAGGTTGCTCTAATGAGGACATGTGTCAAGTTGCAATGTAAGTAACATATATGCTTTGATCCCCATACTTGTAGGTTCCTACTACCTATTATCTGAGGGGAGATGATATCTTTCGTGCAAATAATTTTTACACTTATTTGCTCTCTAAACCACAATTTACTTTATTTACTTTGTCTTATGTCCTATGAAAGGTATTGCGATTTATGTTTAAATGTGAATGGTATCCACGACTTGCCTTTCTAGGGAGAATTCACAGTGTTCCTTAGATAAGTGTTGCTAACTTGTAGGGGTGTAAATGGTATTTAAAAATTCGATTTTGAATTCGATATTTGGTATAATCGAATCGAATTCGAATCATTCGAATATTTAATTTGTCAAATTCAGATATCCTATTCATAACAAATAGTTAATCGGGTTCGAATTCAGATATGACCTAATTCGATTCGATAAATATATGAATTTGACCGATTATTTAATTCTTATAAATAATATATAAAATTTGTAAATGTTATATATATAATAATTAAATTTTATAAATAATTTATATATTTATATATTTTATATAAATAAAATATTTATTAATTATCTAAAATAATTAATTAGTCAAATTCGAATCGAATTGAATATTTGAATATTTAATCGAATTCGAATATTAATTTTCAATATCCGTTAGATATCGAACCAAATTTGGATATTGCCTGATCCGATTCGATTTCGATCAGTTTACACCCCTACTAACTAGATGACCGCATATCATATAGTCCTACTATTACGGTTATTCCATGGCAATGGTTTAGTTTTATATATGTCTATCCTCTTGCAATAGAAATCAAATCCGCGTATACGTTGGAGCAAACTAGCTAACATACCAATTGAACCACCTCTTAGTTGATGATATTGAGTAATATTTTAATTAGACTTTTTTTTGTTAATATAAGAATTTATTTGTGGGCTTTAGCCCAAGGAACACAACGATTAGGTAAACTTATAAGCCAATTATATACCTTGTTCTCAATATAGGTTAGATTAGGCACAAGTCCATTTGAGAAAAAAAAACATACTATTGAGCTATGTTTTTTATTTTCAAAGAAAAAATAAAAATTTGTTTTATAAAGTTCTAGTGTAAAATGTATATGATTTATGGAACATAATGTTAAATAATCAGATGAAAACATTTATATTTTCTGTTTCAGTCTTTAAACAAAAAAACACTTATACAATCAATTCAATGGTTCTATAGAGTTTTGACCAGTTTGACCGGAATATAAAAAACCTAATGGCCTCCGGGTCCCGGGTCAGACGGTCCGAGTGGCCAGTCCGGTTCGAGTCCCACAACACTGATTATGATTTATAATATGGCACGTGCGAGTGCGAGTGCGAGTCGTTGCAAGGTGTAATCCAAGTTGATAATAATAAATTCCTAGTTTCCTACGTCACGTTCCGTCTATTCGTAATTGTTTCACTACTGCGCTGCGATTGGTTAACTGATGGGACCAACCTATGTACGAATGACACGTTTCATCTTCGGATTACTTAGCACACGGGCAAGTGCGCACGGAGCAAACGCCGTCTAATTAAAGGATTTTGATCGATGAAAGAAGTTAAACAAAAACCCTTCTCTCGGCTCTCGCTGTCTCATATAAAAGGTTAGCTCAACGCCTCAACCGCGTTTCGCCCCGCTTTTCAACAGTTGATGTCCTTTTTGGCGTCTGCAACTGTCACTCTCTCTCTGTCTCTCCCTCAAAACCCTAATCCTGCCTTTTAAACCAAAACCCTAACCCTAACTGACTAAACCATTCAAGTTTCTGCTCTGGAGCTCGCCTGCTACATTTCCTAGACGTAGAAACCCGTTATCAGTGATGATGGTTACAGTCGAAGAGGTAAGCTTAGTCGCTGTTATAGGCTGAGGATGATCTAAGAAGATCGCAGGAGAGGGAAAAACTTAAATAGTAAATGCAAAGGATTCATTCGGTTAGGTCGTTTTCAGGCTAAATTACGCCCCGGCGATGGAGTCCGCCTCCATTGCGGCGGCCGTCGATCGTATCGCTGTCTCATCGGCTCCTGGGGACGTTGTTGCTGTTGATTCGATAGAGTTCACCGGCGGAGGAACTGAAAATTCAGGTAACTGCGATTCGCGGGGTTGTGATATGAGTTCGGTGGTCATGGCGGCGAATGAGGGAGAGCATTTAGGTAGTGATGATCAGAAGGAGCAGAACGGGCTTAAGTCACCATGGAAGAAACCAGTTGAGGGGAAGGGAGCTGAGGCTCCGGTGATGGGAGCGAAATCTTGGCCAGCACTTGCTGAAGCACTGCCAAAGAATTCTGATGCTGCTGTAAAGCAAGCGCCTGATGCTGCTTCTCAGACTGCGGATTCTGTTCCGCCGCCGCCACCTCCACCTCCTATTCAGGTCAGTCAGTCATTTTCGTTCTGTTTCTCTCGTTAGATACATTCTTTTCGTCTTACAAATCAAAAGAAGATATGCTTTTTTTTTTTAAATTTTTGTTTGCATGAATGCTATCAAGGATGAATGGATTAATATGTGGATTTAATTCTAAAAAAAAGAATCCAAGTAGAATCTACATTTTTGGCTGTTGTTATTCTAATGCAAAAGATGGAATTTTGATTTCAAATGTAGCTCTTGGAGCACCCGGAATCTAGAAAACAAATGAGATCTACCTTATGATCGTTTCTATTCTAATTGCAAAAGATTGGATTTTGCATGCAAAGGTAGCTCTTGGAGCACCCATAATCCAGAATCCAAATAGGATCTACATCTTCGGTCCATGTTATTCTAATGCAAGAGATGGGCTTTTGCATGCAAATATAACCTTTGGAGTACCCAGAGTACCGAACCCAAATGGGTTCTCCAATTTGTTGTTGTTATTCTAATCCAAAAGATTGGAGTTTTCAAACAAATATAACCCTAGGATGAAGTTCTCTTCCCAGAAAAAGAGGAAGAGAATTTGCCTGATGCAGGGTTTTTCAATGCCATATAGAAGCAATGCTGAATTGCTGATATTGTATTGAAAATTTGAAATCTAAGACAATGAAACCATATCCCTCCCTAGGGATTTATTGTTTATCTGTGCTAGCGATTCCTGGGGCTGAGCTATCCCCCTGCCTTGTGTATCTCCTCCTGTTTCTTACCAAAAGAAAATCTAAGACAATGAAACCATCTTTCCCCACATGCAGTGTTGGATGGCATCTCAGTTTTACAATTTAGTAGATCCTGTTTTAGATGATCCGTTAGAAACAGCATGCCCCAAAAACGAGTGTGGCAGGACACAGAAATGTGAATGCCTAGATGGATAAGTGGTGAAACTAGCAAGGACAGGGTTGGAACTTGGAAGTGAAGTCATACAAAGGAACCTAGGAGTAGCTCCAGTAGATGACATAATGAGAGAGTGGATTTAGAGGGTCTGGTCATGTGCATAGAAGACCATCTACAACACCTTATTAGGAAAAGTGATATTTTACAAGTTGAAGGAGCTAGAAGAGCTAGAGGCAGACAGGAAAGGACTTGGGTAGAAGTATTAAGAAATTATTTAAGGACCAATAATTTAATGATGGTTATTGCACTGAACAAGAAGAATGGTGAAACAGGATTCACGTAGCTGACTCTATATAGTTCGGACAAGGCTTAGGTGATTATGATGTTTCTAGCTGATCCTTAAATCCTTTGATGTTCAACTTTCGGTATCAAATGAATTACTACTGCATAATTTGGTAAAGTTGGAATTCTTTCTCTCTGAGTCAGCTCATTTAAGAAAATAGTTATTCTAGTTCTGTCTTCTTAATATTGGAGTATTTTGATGTCATCATTTGGATTCTAGAGAATGTTAATACTCATGAATTGTCTACCTGCTTCCCTTCAAAACAAAAGTTTGTTTATGATCAGTAACCAATAACCTGTTTATGGTCTGGGTAGCTTGGCGGGCTTGCCCAGCCCAGCCTGTTTTTATCAGGCTCAAGCATATTTTGAGGACCATGGGCTCGCCTCGGGCTGTAAGAATTAGGCCTGATTATTTTTTTTTGGCTGGGCTTGGAATTTTTATATAAACCCAACCAGATAATATTATGAATGCGTGAAGTGTGATTTTTTGTTTGAACTTAGGTGTGTAATTGTATCATGGGTAGCAATATTTTTGGTGTGCAAAATGTGTGATTGGATGGGAACATGTTAAAAAAATATAGAAATAGAGGATAGAACTAATATATTGCATAATGTACACTGGGCTTTGTGCTTGGGCCCAGTCTTTGGGTTTTATATTAGGTCTGAGCTTGGGCTCAAGAATAGGCCCAATAATCTTGGGTTGGGCGTTGGGCTGGGGGCTTGGGCCTGGACATTTTCTGTTATAAGTGGTAAAGACTGGGCGGAGTCCAGCCTATAAACAGGTCTAATAACCATTGATCAAGAGAGTTTGATTAAGATCATTTGGTTGGAAATGCTGATTAAAATGGTTATTTAGGTAGAAGGAGATCCATGCTATTAAAAGTTTTTTTTTATATATCAGGGATTACTACAATACAATGGATAACTGACAAGCGTTAAGTACAGGAAAGAATCCTTATCCCTGTTGCTGTCCGTCTGTCTGTATGTCTGAGAAATGGTAATTTTCAATTCCAAATGGAAGGGGATGGTTGTTCTCTCCTGGGCTGGGAAGGTTGTAAGTTGTAACCCCTCTAGCTAGAGAATTAATCAAGACATTAGTGGAATGTGGATTCCACCTGAATAAGCTGTTCAAGAGGGCAGGTATAGCCTTGGGGGCTGTTTAATAACAGCTGAAGATGCTGAACTGAAAAGCTTATCACTTTGTCCTTTAGTGAATATGATTTTAAGAAGGTTGTGAACTCCATAATGGCTGAAACTGAAGCTGGGTAGACCACTAAATTCTTGAAAGTTTTATTATTTAATTATTTTAACAACTAAAGACAAAGCTTTAAGTCTTTCAGTTCAGCAACTTCAGCAGTTACCAATGTCCCTTTAGCCTCTCTAAGCATGAAGTTGAAAGGTTCAGGAGGCCAGGACTCTCAGCCAAAGACATCCATCTGTATTACCTCTAAAATCACCTTCTATTAACAAAGAGTCCCAACCTGATGAGTAGGGTCATCTTTTAACCTTGTAAAAGAGCTAGGAGCTCAGCTCTTAGAGAGAGAGAGAACCTCTTTCTAATAGGACTTAGAGATGAAATGATGCTTCCTTCATGTGTTCTGAACCTACTCTAGAGGGGCCTGGGTTGCCTAAAGGGAAACCATAATGTTGGGTTTGATCATATCAAGAGCTGGAACAATCCAGTTCTGAACAATTCTTTGTCTTTGTTGTTTTATCCCAGTCAACACCTGCATCCTCTAAGCATAGGGTCCATAGAAACACCCTTGAACACTTCCTTGGTTGTTGCCTATTGTGCCATTCTCTCACAGCTATTCGTGATTTATTTAACTACCACAAACAAAAATCTATTGGAATTTTATTTCTTAGTATTTATTAAAAAAAGTTTATTTCTAATTTAAACAATCATATTGGTATTCTATCCTTGACCCAAAAGTGGAAGGATTATGGGATGGTGTATGAGGGCTGCTATCCTTCAGAGTGGGAGGGATGAGAGAAGCATAAGAGTTTTATCTAATGGATCAAACCTCCTGGGGTGACCCTAGGGATAAAAGACTTGATCACCATCCATGTAGTCCTTTGGATATTGACTAGTAAATTTAAAGGTATTTGAGTATTTCTAGATGCCATTATTAAATCTTACTGGTTGATAGCTGGCTCAATGATCCAAATACAAGTGATGATGCAAAGTTTGAGTTTTGGTTGGTACTCAATCATAAACACTGACCCAATCAGGCGTAGGTGATTATTTTAGAGGAAATTATGGATGGATTATCCAATTTTTCTCATACTTGACCAGGCATTGTGGCTGCACTAGAGCTAGCTATTGGCCCTTGTTCAAGGTCTGAACTTGTTTTTTTTTCTTTGAACTGCTTTTTGGTGGAGCTAGAGGAAGATGCATAGAATGTTGTTGCATGGGTTTTTGTTTATCTAACAACTCATGGACTTCGCATCATTTTATCAAAGGTGCAAGCTCCATAGTTGTCAAGGCGTCAGTGCGTCACATAGGTGACTAGTCACCCAACCAAGGGCACCTTGCCTAAACACCTTTACTTATATGTTATATCAACAATGCGCTTGTTGAGGAGAGTATGCACCTACCTATGCAACAAAATACAAGGCAATGCTTTATCATGCATACCATTATTCATATTGCTACATCTAACTTATTTATACCATTTTTTTTTGAATAAAACAGTAGCTCCATCTTTGTTCTTTTCTCTTTTACTTTTATCTTAAATATTTAGCATGTAAAATTATAGCCTTGTTAGTTGCTAATTGATATGAAAATTCTCTATTAAATACTTATTGTATGAATCTTGCTTTTGAAAATGTTGAATTAATATATCTAAAATACTTTTATCCTTTAGATATGATGATCTTCCATGTTTTGAGAGGAAATTTAATGTTCTTAACATCTATAAAAAATTAATGTTCTTAATAAAGAGAATTGCTATTCTTTCAATTAGTAAGCATAATGGTATATAAAACTAGGGAGAGTAGGGACCTTCCCAAAGTCTAGTTCTTTATTACTTATAAAAAAATAGTTATTTATTTTATAAAATTCTTATTGCCCAAGGCTTAAAGCATCAATAAGTATCACATTAACTATAAAGAAGTATCGATACATATCACATTGTATCATTTGTTTTGTATTGGTATTGAAGGTCTTGTACATGATAAATACTGAGAAATTGGACATTTTAATGGATTAAATTGTTGATGCCCATCCTCAATTACCTATTTATGAATTATCACAATTTTTTGCATATCTTGCATATTGATATTTTAAACCTTGGTATCACCTAGGTGCTTGTCTGGACAACTAGGCATAGGGGTGTAATCAGGATGAGCTAAGTTGATACATTACACTACCCATGCTTGACTCAACTCAAAAACTCGCTACTCAAAATTCGATTTGAACTTAGTCGAGTTTTCTGAAATTAACAACTACCTGTCATGCCTTGGCCTGACATTGTTTTAGAAAATGGCTTCTGGAAGATTATAAGGTTATTTTTCATGCAACAGCTAAATTTTCTGGAAGCCATTTGATTTCCACAACCAGTTATGTGCAACCTGGCACTTTAAAATAGATTTTTTTTAATGTTTTCCCCAATTTCTCTTATGTTTTATGTGGAATCAATGGAACTCCAATGTGCATCATGGTGCAGGAATTGGTTTGAGTCAATGGCTTAATGGACAACCCTCACGATTACATTATCATAGTGCACCTAATCTCATCATTTTACAAAGTAAAGTTATGGGGTGGGAATGGTATAATTTTCTTTCTTTCCTCAGCTGGATCTACATTCATGGCCTTTTGTTGGGGAAACAGGTGTTGCTTATTTTGTTGTAGTGGTTTAAACTCATATGCACTTTCATTAGTGCCTAAAATTGGCTGCTTCAGGAGTCAAAATGTCATCACATTGACATTAGAAATTATATATTGGAATTAGTGCATTTCCATTGTTAATTGAATGCCTGAAACTTCTTAGATTTTAATACTTATTTCTGGAGAGCTATGCATGGAATGGTGAAATGGGATTTATGTAGCCCGACTGCATATAGTTGGGATAAGGCTCTATGATAATGACAATGACGATTATTCCTCACTCTCTGAATTCTTCTCATCTTTATTGTTGAATGTTATCTGATTTATGTTTGGTATCTTTTTATCAGGGATCATTTGGGCCACAGAAACCAGATGGGCTTGCAAACACTAGTCCTACCCATAAGCATCCACCACATCATCACAAAGTAGGCTCTAAGCGTAACCTTCCTCCAAATGGTGTTCCACCTTTTCCTATACCCTTACCTTATCACCAACCACCAATGCCACCTGTTTTTCATGCTGTTGTACCTGGGCCACATATCCCTTTCCATGAGTATGCTTACCAGCCTTATCCTGGACCGTTTCCCAATGTAGAGCCACATATGGTAAAATCTGGATGTGAAACCCACATACAAGCTTTTGTTCCACCAGGCCATGGTGGTGGTATTGATGCTAACAGAAATTTTCAGCCTCCATCAGGACCACCAAGAGGAGATCTCAATGCATATGCTGGCAATTTTGGAAATCGACGACATAATATGCAAGAACATGGTGGCCGTTTTGCACATACATGGCGTCACCAACGAGCATTTAATCCTAGAGACAATATTCATATGCAACAAAATCTTGGACCAAGGGCTTTTGTAAGGCCACCACCTCCATTTTTTGCTCCAGCTCCTGGGTTCATAAATGGTCCAGGTTTTGCAGGTGAAATTGCTAGCTTACTTTTCTGCAATACCTTTTAGTTTTGGTTATTTAATCTTTTTCTATTTTGTTTCTTTTGCATTAGGGACAGTTTGTCATTCTTTTATTCCTTCACATTCGTTAAGCATTTATTTTTAATGATGTCTTGTTCTCCTGAGTCCTTTATTGGGGGATTTATTTTTTTCCTTCTTTTATCTGCTATATGCTTACTTAATTGCATTGCATCTCCAATACAGGTCCTGCTTCTATGTACTATCTTCCTGCTGCACCTCCAGAAACAATTAGAGGACCTCCACCTCGTTTTATTGCACATCCTCCACATCATGTTTTTCCCATCCCAACACCTGAGACAGTAGCTCTGAGAGCTAATATAGTAAAACAAATCGAGTATTATTTCAGGTTAGTGATCCTAGAGACATTTAATTTTAATGCTTTTTGGTGGAAGGTGGTTTTTCTTCATTGTTTTATTATATATAAATGTCCATGTACTATCACATTTGTTAAGTTGACAGTTTGGCATGCATACGATGGGTGTGCTAGCTTAGTCTTGAACTTGCTTTTCTTTTTCTTTTTCTTTTTTTTTTTTATATTGTTTAAGTGTGTTGGTTGTTATGGCTGTTGGTCCTTCCTCCTACAACTTGATGAGGGAAGGTTTTTTGTAGTCTTACCCATGTATGTCCTTTTGTATTTCTAGATGCTTTTTGATGTTGTTTTTAATGAAAAAGTACGTTGGGAACACATGGAGGTTCCATTATTTGAAAACAATTAAATCTTTATACATATAGTCTATATGTTGCTGCTATTATTTATTCACTTGCAGATATAGACCAAAGTTTCTCTTATAATGGTTTTTTCTTTCATCATCATCTTCTTCTGCAGTGATGAAAATTTGCAGAAGGACCACTACTTGATTTCCTTAATGGATGACCAAGGATGGGTTCTGATATCCAAAATTGCTGACTTCAATAGGGTATGTTTTCAAAATATCGTGTTTTATTTCAGGTGTATTTTAATGCATATGCAATTATAAGCCATCATATCTGATTGCATTGCTTTAAATTTAATCGCTTAGTTCATTGTTTTATACTCTATCTGAAAGGGACAAAAGGTGTTTTTAGTTATCCCACATGATGATTTTTCTCTTACCTATAATGATGTAATATCAATCCTGTGATATCACTAGTGCCACAATATCTGATGCTTTATAATTATTTTTCATTTTACAGGTTAAGAAAATGACTACAAATGTACTTTTTATTCTGGATGCATTACGGAGCTCAGCTATCATTGAAGTGCAGGTAAGATATCTTCTTTGGTTGCGGTCTTGTGGTGTTTTCAACTGCACTTTTCAATTAGTTGTTGTGTCTTTCCATTTAGTTGGGTCATTGGTATTTTGGTAGGGTGACAAGATACGGAGACGTGATGATTGGACAAAGTGGCTTCCAGCTTACAGACAGCATGTGTTTTCTTCAAAATCTGATGAGAAGGGTGCAGCTTCTTTGAAGAATACTGAGTTAAATGAAGGCAATGTTTATGAAAGGGGCATATCTGAGGGGTGCATGGAATTTCCATTGGGTAGTGAAAGTTTGGTGGACCACTTATCCTCAGACAAAGGTACTTCCAAAGTTGAGTGCAGTAATTCAGAAAGCAACACTGAAAATGTGCATTCTGGCAGTGAAACACAACTCCATGGAAATACTGGGGATGCTAGTAGGATGTTTACTTCTGAATCAAGTTCAGAAATCAATTCAGAACAAGTGACCACTTATAGATGTATTTCAGACAAGAATTCAGATGATTCCATCTCCAATATGAAGAATAGCAACACTGATTGCTGTGTCAGCTCTAAATGTTCACGAGGGGATGCACACTCTGTAAGTTATGCTGATCATAAATATCATGGCTTGGATATGATACCAGAGTTGACCACACTGAATCTCGGTGGCTTGTCAAGCGATTATACCGGTGAACATTCTGGGTTTACGAGTGAACAGAACACTTTCATGCTTGATGAAGAATTAGAACTGGAGCAGACAACAATTCGGAAGGATCATCTCTCATCTAGTAGAAGGTAGATACAAGATCCATCTGTGTTGGATTCTCCTTTTCTATAGGTGTCCATTAATTTTAACAATGTATGAGTTATGCAATTATATATGTTGATTCTTTTGCATATCCTTGCTAATCATGTTTTTTCTTTTGAACATAATCTTCTTTTTGGTAGAGTTTTGAACTTATTCTTTGGTACATGAAATTGGTGACGTAGAATTCTAATAAAAAGGATTAAAAATCCATTTGTGGTCAATTCTCAACTCCATTACCACATATTTTAACTCCCTCAAGACATGCCTATATTTTCACAGGCTCATTGTCTTTTTTGGTAATACTCTGTCTTTCCTTTGTTCACGGTGTACAGAAACTCTTTGTAAAAGGGCCTGTTGTATATCTTTTGTTTGAACAATAGAATCATGCTTTATTTTTTTTCCAAGTTTCTTTGGAGGAATCATCATCTGAGCAATGCCTAGGCATGGTTCCTAGTCAACTAGATACTTTCATGCCATGTAGATTTACCTTAGTGCCTTGACAATCATATGAAAATGTATTTCTTGAAAAATGAAATTTCAGTTATTGATCTCTGCCCGTTTCTTCACTTTTTTCATACTCATGCACTATACATATAATGTGATTTTGCTAACTATTTTTTGATCTTTCAAATGTATTGTTGTGTTAAGGATTGATGATGATGATGATGAGATGGATGTCAATGATCAGGATGTTCAAAGGCTTATAATTGTCACCCAGGTAAGCTTTTTACTAGCCTAATTATTTGCTCACAATATCTTCTTCTGTTAAGCAGTTTCTCCAATTTGATATTTTTATCCCATGTATCAGTGGGATTATCATTACATTGTTCATACACCTTCAAGGGTCAAGAGTGCACAATTGTTGAACATACTGAACAACCAAAGCTGTTTATTTTATTTCCCATTCCGACTGTGTCAGTATGTCAAGTCTCAATTTCATTCCATTGAATGTATATCCAACTTCTTTTAGTGGGCTTTTTTGTGCTTGTTTGTTTTTGGCTTGTATATGCCCTCAGGTACATCATTCCTTTTGCCTCTTTACAATGATGGTTGCCCTTCTTTAAAAATGGTATATCAAACTTCCTGCAACTTCATGTAGAAGAGTACACATGTCAGGTTTAGTTGTGCCACACTTTTTTTCCCCATTTACAATTTCCAATTACTTGCATGTGTTTTTAGTTTTCCTTTTCTTTAAATTTAATTGCAAATCTAAGGTCACTGTTCAAATAGTACTAGGTGTGCTGTTATTTATCAGCTAATTCTCTTAACAATTCAATACCCACTTGGATTTTCTTGGCTGGCATGCAGAACATAAGGATAGGTGAAGATGATAAAGCTGGAGCAGGAGAATCAAAGCCCATCTCGAGTGAACTTGCTTCTGCAATCAATGATGGCCTTTATTTTTATGAACAAGTTGGTTGCCATGCTTTTAATATTAGTGTTATTTGTCAGTGTCTGTGGTAGATCTTCTCTTTCGTTTCCTCTTTCAACAACAAACTGAATACTTTGGACTTGTTGGTATATAGGGTTTTAATCTGTTTATCGTTGGCAGGAGCTTAGGGCAAAGCGGTCTAAGAACAGAAGAAATAACTCCATACTAGAGAATAGAGATGGAGATTCTAGATCCTCTAACCTTGCACCTGTCTTATCAAATTCAAAAGTCAGTGGAAATACTACTGGAAGCAATGGCTCCGAAGAGCCTGTCCATGCTAATTCACGGAGGAGACAAAATAAAAGTGTTAACAAGCAACAGTCATCCCATAAACAACGCTTATTCCCTAGCAATTTTAGGGCACATGGAAATGGTCGTAACCGTCATGGCATCATATCTGAAAGTCCTCCAAGCAATTCAGTGGGATTTTTCTTTGGGTCAACACCCCCAGAAAGTCATGGGTGAGCAAAGTACCATTGCTTAGGGTAATGCTATGGAGACCATGGTTTAGGGAGTTGTTTAGCAATCCTTGAGCATTCTTTTATGCATGTTTTTTAGCATTGCATAAACTGATTGACTAGTTTTTCTGGTTTCTGTCAACTAGTGTGGTTTCCATAGCATTATTCCCATAGCTTGTCTTTATCTAGTGTAATTTTCTTTTGTTTAGTTATGTTTCTTATCAAATCAGTACAGATACTCTAACAATAAAAATTTTTTATGATAATATTGAATTCCACAGTCCTATGACTTCAAAATTAAGTGCTTCACCACATGGGCATCTTTCTGGTAGTCCACCTGTGGGCTCTATGCCAAAGCCTTTCCCCCCATTTCAGCATCCAAGTCATCAACTTTTGGAAGAAAATGGTTTCAGGCAGCAGAAGTAAGTGAGGATATATCTATAATCAGCTTGTGATTTCATGGAGTAAACTATTGAAACATGTATTTAAGGCATCAACTTTCCAATATTTGGAGTTCTGATTTGGTTTTTCATAAACTCAGGTACCTGAAGTTCCATAAACGTTGCTTAAACGACAGAAAGAAATTGGGAATTGGTTGCAGTGAGGTAGGTCTATATCCTGAAGAGCTGTTCTTCAACTTCCTTTTTTAGGAATTAAGCTGATTCAGAAATTGAGGTTTGATAATTGTTGGTCTAGCAGAATTTATATGATGTATACATGCACTAATTGTGCATGGTATGGTTTTAATTGTCAGTAACAGTTAATGATCAATATTTCTCTATGATCCTTCACTGATACGATCTTGGGTGAAGTGTCCCTGAAGTTAAGGGTTATAAACAGATGTGTTTTTTTTTTTTTCAAAATAAATAGATGTGGTTTAGGGATTGATGGATTGGATGCAAATACAGATTTTTATGTATCATATATCATAAAGTAGGCAAAGAAAAAGGTACATAGATGGGGCGATGGTTCCCAGGTTTAATTTTTGTTTCTTACTTTGGGCCTTTAATTCAAGTCTGCACTTGTGCGACTCATCATACCCCTAAGAAGTCACACCATAAAAATCAGTGGAACTTTTTTTCTGGGGGATGGTACCAATCAGTGCAACAGGATACACCTATTTCATCCTTAAAAGAAAAACGGCTGAGTTGTTGAGTTGCACAACCTGTTAAATAGAAAATAGATTAAAATAGGGCTACATCAAATAGTTGCACAACCTTGAAGGTCATATAGTTTCACTCATAATGTGGATGCTCCTCCTATGTCCTCTGTATATTTATATCTTCCTTTAGGGAGGCAAGATACTTGGGTATTTATAATGAGTTACTTGTTCAGATGGATATTATGATCTTTCAATGCTTTTGCAGATAACATTGAGAGTAGGAAGAGAGAATCTGGTTTCATGGGTCGCAGACCAGGATTACGGCTGTAATCTTCATTTATTTTCATGCCTTTGATTGTTGATCTGCATACTGAAAAAATGATTCTTGACATTTTCTTTTTGATAATAAAAGTAACTTTTCAATAAAAAGAAAATAGATGCAGACTATTGGTGATGGAGATCTACTAAAATAAATCAAATGCAAAATAAATGGTGCTAGACAACAAAATTTGAACCTGGTCCATCTTCTAAACCCATGAAAGCAGAAGCCTGTCTTCGGAATCTTCTTTTTAAGTATCTTTCAATTCTTGATGAGATAGAGACCTTTCAGAAACCAAGATGCACCTGTTCTGCTATTTCCATATACTCCAGTCCACAGCGAATGGCACCGAACTCCATAAAATTTTAGCCTTCTTACTGCCCTCATAAGTGAAAACTAATAAACCATGGTGGTCTAAACAAAAAACGGAAAAACAACTACCTTGCAACCAACATAAAATTACTAATACTTCCACTACTGCAACCACCACCACCACTACTACCTTTATCATTTGTTATTCATGTCATTTCTGAATCAGCCCAGCCTGACCGGGACTAAGCCTGCACAATGCACATAATGCAGGCTGTGTCTGGGCTAAGTGAACTCTAAGCATGCTCAGCCCGGCCCAGCCCGTAAAGTTATGATGTATATGTGTGTGTGTATTCCATATATACACACACATGTATATTCAATATATCTATATACCATATATTTAGTTATCATATTATACCATATATGGTATATCTTAAATTGTTAATAAATTAATATATGTATGATGAGTATATATAGTTTGTTGTGTATTTTTTTTTATAAAAAACTGATGATTTATTTTTTAAGTTAAATATAATTTTATTGATTTATACGGGAAAGCCTGGGTGCATGGCCCGGCCTGGTCCATAATGTGCTTCCATAACAAACGTGTAGTTTGACATTTATTTTCTTATTTTTTTGGTGCTTATGCTTGGCTTCTCTTTTAACTTGTTTTTTTTTGTCTAGTTTTATTGTTGGGATTGTCGTGGTTCACATTAATGATATATTTTCATTTTTTTGCATGCAGGAAATGAATACACTCTATCGGTTTTGGTCATTCTTTCTCAGAAACATGTTTTTTCCTTCTATGTACAATGAGTTCCGCAAATTAGCACTGGAAGATGCTGCTGCCAAGTATAATTATGGACTAGAATGCCTTTTCAGGTTTTACAGGTATTTTATCTTTAGTCATTTACTTCAAATCTCCTGGAGTTGAGGAAGGTCAAAGCCATCTCTGCCCCTGGTTATTCTTTTTTTCTTTATTCTGTTGTTTTCTAAATGATTTATCCTTTTTTGATTGAAAAGAAATGGAAATGTATGTTTGCCCATCTTCATTGCCTATCTTCACTTTTGAGAAGAAAAGGAGGTGCTATATTCTTTTTTATTCCAAGCTCATTGATTTTTTTTTATTCTATTTCAAACTGCCACAGTTATGGATTGGAGAAGCAATTCAGAGATGACCTATATGAGGATTTTGAACAGCTTACCCTTGAGTTCTACAATAAAGGCAATCTTTATGGTCTTGAAAAATACTGGTAATGTCTTAAAATTTATCTCTTTTTATTGTTTTCCTCATGTTACTTTTTTTTTTCTTTTCCCCTTTTCTTATCTTATATGAATTTCTTCTTATAAATCTATTTTAATCTTTGCAAGGATGGATGTTACATTTTATCAGAATAAATTATGTTTTCCTTAACTCCTGAACTATGCTTGAATTTTCCCTGATTATACTTGAATTAGAATGGTGGCTAAATAATCAGGAAAACAAAATAAGATAGTTGTCCAAGATTCCAAGTATTGTACTAGGACTTGTATGCCAGGATTTGTGAACTACGGAAGTCACCATATTTTTATATTTTACAACTTGTGTCTGAATTCCAATGACTGTGTAAGACCATAGACTGGCAAACCACCACAGACCTGGTTTAATCTATCCTGGGTCAATACCAAATCAACCTGGCTCTTTGACCAGTCTGGTAAGTTAGGTGGATGATAGCTGTCCACTTTAGGTCCTGTGGCATGGAAGGTTTCAGAAACCTCTCCATTTGATAACTAGAAAATATATATAGTAAAGTTTCATGGAAAATGGGGGGACCTGAATCTTCTCCTTTCTGCATAGTTGTCAAGGTTACGCCACATTGGCGACAAGGCGCCCTTGGAGGTTTGCCTTGCCTAATTGTGAAACCATATTCGTACATGGTGTTATGAGATACTTTTATACTAAGTTTTTGGGATTATAATCAAGGTTCAAAATTTCAACGTGATACACCACACATTGAGTGTATCATATTGTATTTGGCAAGCCACCGATACTACAAATACAAGGGGTTTGGGAATTTGAGCATTTTCAGTGGGTAGGCATGCCTTCGATCAACCCCCTATCCACTTTTGAGAAAAAAAAACTAAAAAAAAAGTTTTGTTGTATCAAAATACCTGATATGCCTGTTTGTCTGTATCAGGTGTATCAGTACTTTAAACCTTGACTATAATTATAAAATAAATATTAAACTAAAATGTTCATTTTGTGTGTTTCATATATTTGTTTCTTTTTATTATTTTGTTATTTGTTAGGGTTTAATGAACAGATGTTGCTAAATGCTGTCTTGAACCCTCAAAGACTTCAAAACCTCAACGAATAAGAAAAAACTTAAAATTTGTCTAATCAACCCATTTTCTTCTTCCACCTTTTTCTTTTCTTCTTTTCCTATAACAAGAATAGGGGTTCAGACTCAGGCCCTATATTTTCTGAATTTTCTTTTCTTCTTTTTCTTATGAATATGTTGTTTTTCTATACTTTGTGTTTCTTGCCTTTACTATACTTCTTGCTCTTCCTATATTTCTATGAGTATTACTTATTCTTTCATGTTCTTTTCTTAGTTGCTAGTTTTACATCCATTGGATGATTTAATTTCCCTAAGATTGGGTTGGCCCGGTGATGTAGGGTTGCTGGGGTGCTTTGTCTAATAGGTGGTCTGATACTGATTTTTGTAGGATTGATGTAAAAAGAGAGCATAAACTGAGGGAGTATTGGTAATTTTAGGCTTTTTTATGAGGGATTTGTTGGTTAAGGGCCCTAAAGGCTAAAAAACTGAATTTTATGGCCAATGCTATGTCCAGTATCATAGTTGAACCCTATTTATGGCCATTGGCCAATGCTATGTCAACCCCATGTGTCTATGTCTGAACAAGTTTCTCAGCAGTCTTCAGTTTAAGTACCATTAAATATAATATAAGCTTTTTAAATTTTCATTTTACTATAACCTTTTCACTTTTTTCACTTGTAACATTATGTGATGCCAAGCCTAAGTCGGCTCCATTTTAACCCAAGTTGTGGCTGTTGAGGAATTAGTGACTGCTTTGGGTTTGGTTTGAGTGAAATAGGGTTCAAGGTTGGGTTGACTATTATTTGATTTCTAATATTTTATTTTACTGAATGAAAATTATTTACCAATGAATCACATTTAGCTGCATGATGAAAAATCTTTTTTTTTTCCCCGAGGCCACGAGGTAATGCTTGAGTATTGTAGATATATCCAAGTTCTCACACGTTCCATGATTAAACGTTTCTTTTTGGTATGGATAAGCTGGTCTTGAACATCTGATCTAATTGGTTGTCATGTTCAAGCCCCAGTTAATCCTATATGTTTGAATGTTCAATTTAATGTTTAAGGAATCCTGCCATATTTGGGGGTGGCTTTGATGTATGTGAAGTTGTTAGCTTTGGGTGGTTTAGAAAATACTACATCTTCTGTTGCTGATAAAAAAAAAAGAAGAAAATCCCACATCCATGCAATTTTTATACTAGAAAAAACTAACCAGCAGAAAAACATTTACATGTATGTCTTCACTGTTGCTGTCTTGTCAATGTTTTGTGTGAAAAGAAATTGAAGATCCAATTAGTAACTACATCATGATTCCATGAAAATTGCTTGAAGAATCTTTACTACAAATCCTTTTATGAGTTACCACTATTTTGTCATCCCTTTTTCTTCCACAAGTTCTTGACATGATACTCCAGAATCCTCATTACTTCTACAACGGAGGTGTTTCCGACTTGCCAGTAACTATTATTTTTAGCAACGACCATCATTCTTTTCCTTTATTTGTTACTGGTACAATGCAAACATTACTATTTGCGTTTAGTATTGAATACTTTAAATGAGATTCTGCTTCTAGTATTGATTCTGCTCTACTTTCTCATTGTTTTGTTGGGCTTTTATTTCTCTTTTGGTGATGTAAATTCTACTCTCTGATGCTTCTACTAATGTTGCAGTTCAGCAACCGTTGCTGTGTCGGTAGTCTAGTTATGCTGTGATCGTAACTTTTCAGTGATGTTGCAGGGCTTTCCACCATTATCGGGAGCTACGTGATGGAAAAGCACCTCTAAAGAAGCATCCGGAATTGGATAGGTTGTTAAAGGAAGAGTACCGTAGCTTAGATGATTTCCGTGCAAAGGAGAAGGCAGCACGGGAATGCAGTAGCAGTAATAACAGTGGTCCTTCCGAAAGAGAAAAGGAAACACCATTTCTGGGGCAGGGGAAAAACAGGTCAAACTTGGCAAGGGAGCTTGAGTTGACAGCACATTAATCAAATCAATGCCCTGTTTAAGAGGTGAGATTACCTATTTACGAAGGTGGCTGAACGTCATGCGGGTGAGGAACTGTGAGTTCATTCTGTTTGGCCTTTGGGCATTTTTGTGCAGATTTTGGAAGTCCTGCAACCTTAGCGAGGTGATGAATCAATTGTTTCTCCTCGGATTGTACATAAGGGAAAACGAGAAAAAGGAAAAAAAAAGAAGAAAATAAAAAAAAGATAAAAAAAGAGACAATAATGCCTGTATTTGGGATTCGCAGAAATTGACCAATAATAGACTGGATTTTCGCCGGTCATTTTCTATCATGGTTTTCTGTGTATTTTTTCAGTATTTTATCTGTGCCCTCACCATGCACGGGGTTTCATTTGCTGAACTCATAATTTATGTGAAAAAGCTCTGTAGGAATAGAAAACTCCAACTTCAATCCTCCATGGTTGGAAATGGGGTGAGAGAGCCAAGTTAAGCCAAACTTTTATCTTGGTATGCAAGAGTAAGAAACATGGCGTAAGGTTTTGCTTGGTATAACTGGGATTGCGACCATTCAAATTTCCAGCATTTGTTCGATTTGGAGTTTCTGTACGAAATGGGTTCTCTGAGTCAACAGTAGAGTTAATTGGTGTTTAGCAAATCAGGTGTAATCTAAATAGAGATGCTAGGTATCATTCTTAATGGGGTTATCGGGACGATATCAAAAGCCGTCGTTTATTCTACTTTCATGAAGTTTTAACAGGGTTGGCAACTTGGTGGAAGTTGGTAAATGAACATCTTCGGTCGATGTCACCAATCGTTGCACTGATAGAGATGGCTAAAGAGTAAACATCTGCCCTTAATGTTTAACTACTATCATTGAGTGGTGGCGGAGAATGGAGGGGAATCGGGCTCAAGTGAACTATCCCAATTTTTGGAAAGATGGTGTTTTCTAATACAATGTTTTTGAACTGTTGTTGACCTGGACGGTCATACCATTCGGACTGGAAACCGTTCAGGTGATTGGTTTCGTTTTACTCCAAACTTGGCATTGGTAAAAAATCGTTGAATTAGTCAATGAACTGTTGATCTGAACAGTTTGACCGTTGAACCGTTCGACTTGAAGAATGGTTTGTTGCAAGGTTTTAAAAACTGAGAAATCTCAAATCTAAGATCTGCATACACAAGAAGGTGGGAGAGAGCTGAGATGTGAGACAGATCTGCGTGAGATGGTGTGAGAGATCCGAGGAGAAATCTCAGATCTACTTTCATTTCTAATTTTCCACCATCGCTGTCGCTGTAGTTGTAGTTCACCATTGCCGTCGCCATCATCGCTACAACCTGCAAGTCTTCTTCTTCTTCTTCTTCAAAACTTTCAGTCGACATTTTTTTTCAAATCTCTCTCATTCAAACCTTATTTTTTCTTATATAGTATGCATCTATTCTAATATTCCAATTTAATGGGTAAGATGTTCAAACCGTTCGACCCGGATGGTCGAATGTTGACCCAGAAACTGGTGGTCAGAACGGTTCCGTTTCTGGGCGAGTTTTTAAAACCTTGTTTTAATATGTTAAATATGGAAACATAGATGCACGTCATGCACCAGTGTATCAAACTGAATTTGAGGGCTCGGTGAAAATAGTGGAAAAAGCAAGAGATACAATTTAGAAGTAAATGGCCCCAGTTGAAATTAGGGGTGTCAATTGGACTGGATTTGGTCCAATCTGATCCAGTCCAATGTGAGTCCATTATAAATGGACCAGGTCCAATCTAATCCAATGACTATTTTGGACCACTTTGGACTAGCCTAGTTTAATGTTTGGACCATCCAATTAGGGGTCTGAAGTTGATGCATTGGTGCAAGATTCAAGTAGTAGATCGAAGAATAGGTTATCGAATACGCTATGGGAAAACCCTCTTTCCACACTAGGGCGGAGCTAGAGGTGTCAATTGGATTGGATTTGGCCCAACCCGATTTGGTCCAATGTGAGTCCACTTGCAAATGGACTCAAGTCCAATCCAAATCCAATTCAATCCATTAAAATGTATATGGATTGGATTGGATCCAATCCAAACCGAATGAAATATCAAAAATTATATAAAGCATTTTTGGCATTGAAAAAGCACTTTTGTAAAAGTACTTTGATAAAAGTATTTTATTAAAAGTGCTTTTACAAAACACTTTATTGAAAGTACTTTGTAAAAGCACTTTTAGAAAAGTACTTCCATAGACTTCTATAAAAGTACTTTTGTAGAAGTGCTTTTGTAAAAGTAATTTTCTAAAAGTATTTTTATAAAAGTACTTTTGTAAAAATGCTTTCATAAAAGTACTTTTATAAAAGTACTTTTTGTAGAAGTCTTTTATAAAAGTACTTCCGTAAGTTTTTCCTAAAAGTGCTTTCACAAACGTGCTTTTGTAAAAGTGTATTTATAAAAGTATTTCTATAAAAGTGCTTTCGTAAAAGTGTTTCTGTAAAAGTAATTTCATAAAAGTATTTATAAAAGTGCTTTTATAAAACTACTTTTGTAAAAGTACTTTTGTAAAAATTCTTTCATAGAAGTATTTTTATAGAAGTGCTTTCGTAAAAATACTTTTCATAAAATTACTTTTATAAAAGTGTTTTCGTAAAATTACTTTCAAAAAAGTGATTTTGTGATGGCTTTAGTTTTGATTGATTTCAAATTGGATAAGGATTTGGCCTCATGATCGGATTATTAGAAATTTGGTTTAGGTCCAATTCAAACAATTAAGAATATGGATCAATTTATTTTGGATTGGCCCAATCCAATAATTATAATGGACTGTCCAAATCCTATTTGATAAGATTTGGATAAGCTTGGATCCAAACCAAAACCGATCGATTAACACCCCTAGGGGGAACCTAGTTCGGAGGAAGGTTTCTCGATTGTGGGTGATCAGGTGGAGATTAATTATTTAGGACAAGGGATGGGCCCATCTAGGAGTCCAGAGGTGGGCCCTTGGGCTAGTGGGCTCTCATGTAGAGAGAGACGTCCAAGTGGTGAATTCGGTGGGGTTGTTCTTTTGGGGTAGAGAAAACTTTGGGAGAATGACCGATCAACCTAGGGTTAGAATTTGTAGGCTCGAAGTACTATCGGGGTAGGTGCCAGCTCGGAATTGATGCCAATTTACGGGCGGGCATTGGTGCATAGAGTGTGGATTGTGGACCTTTTGAATGTTTATAGCTCCGCAGTGGAAATCAGAAATCTGCATAGGACAAATCCATACTTCTCCGGAAAACTTTTCTAGAGAAACGTTTCCAAGGTTCGAAGTAGAAACGGAAGAAGCTCGAGCTAAAGGTAGAATTGACAACGATGAAGAAGAGTTTTTCTACAACTCCTCGGCTGAAGCTGGCAAGGTTTTCAAGTTTGGGGGCTTTTAGGAAGTAGAAAGCTAAGAAGGCTTATTGACTATTATGTGGATGTTTAAGTTAAAGCAAATTTCAGAGAAAGGCAATTAGGGGCAGAGGAAGAGGAAGAAGAGGCAAGGTGTTGCTCTAACCTCTAACCCACTCAGTTTTCAGGTCTTGGGTCGTTTGAATCCATTCGAGCTCGACTGTCTGATAATTTTTGAGTTTCTCCTAGTTTTGTGGTTCTCTGTAGTAGCATTTTTGGTCTTTTTTTGGCTTATTGATGTTGATGGTTAGAGGTTGTTGCTCTGTACACGTGGGCTACTATTCTGTATAGGAACTGAGCCTAATGGACTGACTAGTGTCCTTAACATCCTGCAAGTTAAATGGGGTCAGAGATACATACATTTAACTTGAATATGAGATAATGAAATCAAGAGTGACCAAACCCTTAATTTGGTGAGTATGTCTTCAAGTTGATCCTTGAAGGAAATGAATTGAACAAGAAGTTGTTTGCAAAGTATTCGTTCGCACAAAATGAAAATCAAATTTGATGTGCTTGGTGTAAGTTGTTCCTAAATTGTCATACCATAAAATGAGTGTGGGAGTATAAGTGAAGGCGAACTCACCAAGTAGAGAATGCAGCCATGATAACTCACATGTGGCAATTGCCAAACTTGTGCACTCTGCTTTCATGTGAGCGGATGATCATGCACAAAATCAGCACGTTTCAAGTATGGAGGTACTGGATTGGCTTTGGCACTTGGCAGTGGTAGACTGTTCTGCCTCAGAACTAAAGCGTTGCTTGAACCATGGGTTATTTGAGTGGTGGTTGATGATTAAACAGGTGGAAGTAGGTCCTTTAGTGCTGCCATGGCGAAACCACCCAACCCGACAACCGGATGAAGAAGAAGAAGAAGAAGAACAAGTTTCGATCTATTAAGTTTAACTCAATCCTACCCGACAACCGGATCGAATATCGTTGCAATGGACATATATAATTACGCATGTCTCGGGTCGGGTCATAATCATTTGAGACAGGGTGGACCCTGTACAGACATGATAATAATTGGGACAAGAAATTAGGAGCCGGAACTGACCCATCGGAACAAATACTGGAACCAGAATCGATCCATCGGATCAGACCCGACCCATTGACTATTGTGGGATGGAACAGATGTAGATGATGGAGAATTTGTAGTAGTGTGCTTAGATGGGTACTGTGTCAATAGAGGACAAAGTAGATATAGCTTGGGAACCATCAAGTAGCTAAAGGCATCCTGTGAGTAATGTGAGTTTACTCAAGTGGACTGGATGTACAACGAGATCTTGATGGGCTTGAAGGATCTGAATTAAATACAAAAGTAGTAAATAAAAATGTGCTTTCATTGAGAATCATGTGATGTGCTGAGAGGGTCAGTTTAAACACTTATACTCTTTATGTTGTAGGCTATATCTCAAGAATATACATGCAACTGATTTGAATTATAGTTGTAAAGAATAGGAGTTAGAAGGCGATTCACTAGGGTACACTATTGTTTCAGATGGACAAACCAAATGGATAGTTGGAACAAATGACTGTGCAAGAGAGTCAAACCAATTTCAATGATGTTCTGATCAAGGTTTTTAAAATTGGACTAGATAGGTAACCACCATTCTGGGGTCCAGTTCCCAGGTCGAACAGTCCGATCGTCCGGTCCAAACGGACAGCCCAGCCCACTCTGATAGAAAAATAAAAAAAAAAACCGAAAAGACGACCAAAAACCGTTCCTGGGTCGAATGGTTTGATGGTTTGATTGCCCGGGTCCAAATCAATGGTTTTTCTGGTCCGACCATCCGATTTCAAAAACATTGGTTCTGATGATTTAAATGCCTTAATTTTCCACCCATGTCTAATTTCAATATTTTTATTCTTTTACCAAAATAGTTCTCAACGTGCCTCTTGAATTTAATAAATAGAGTGCCTCAT